TGACTTTTGATATAATCCTACCAGAAGTGTAACATTTTTTGTTTAAGATGGAGAACATGGAGAAGTTATTTTGAAAAATCTGAGTTTGTGACACAAGTTCAAGTTAATGTAACCTCAACTTTATAATGTGTATAATGAATTGGTTGATGTTTGCCTAATGACCAGTGGCAAATATTTCATGCATGTTCAGGATGACATGTGTATGATGTGTATAAGAGAGGTAATAAAGGCTGAGAGTGAAAAACTAATCATTATACCATGTATACCATTGGCATTCAGTAGGAATGTGAGCTTTATTGCAATGCATGTCTGTCCATCTATCTTTGTCCAACAAATAATTTCATTACTGTTTTCCCAAATACTGCTGAACTGGATGAGTTCATATATGGTGAGCTGTTAGTGATGAACTGTGATGTGTGAGCCTTTGTATCTGTATGTGTTTCCTGTTGGCTTATATTTCAGTATGTTGAATGAACACAAATTTTTAATGACTTCTATCGGTAATGCTGCAGAACAGAATATCTTCATATTTGGCTAGTGGCTTAACCATGATGAGTTGTGTCTGCCATTTTGAATATGTCAAAATTTGTATTTACTTCCTGTTTTCAGATACTTTGAATTGTGAATTGTCATATGTTTAGTAAAACATCTGATTTATTCTACTTGTTCATATATAGAATGAATCTTTGTGTATCTATTAAACTAATGATTTGTTATATTAAAAAGCTGGAAACATAATTTAAAGTAAAGAACATTTTATATTGATACTATATAGATATCAACCAAAAAAATCTTCTAAAAACATTTTAAAAACATTTTTCAGGCACTGGAAAGAAAATATCCCCAAAAATTTTTATAACATTATTTGCTGTTCATAATATTTTTCAAACGTTCAGAAAATGTTTCGAGAAAATATTTTAAAAAAGATTATCAAAATGTTTTATACGCCATTGTTTTTCAAATTATCATGATATTTCTTGACAATATATTAATTATATTATGCCAACATTTTAGGAAATATTTTAGAAATGTTTTTGCGATATATATCCAACCATACACTTTCATATTTTTCTAACGTTTTTTATCGATATTGTCATGACATTCGACATAACATTTTAATAACATTTTAAAAATATTTTTGTGTTTGCTGGGATACTGTTTTGATATCAGATCCATTATACAATGCAGATTTTAAGTCACCCGTGTTACAAATTCATCTAATAAATTCGAAATGTGATCTCCATCTACGTCTGCAATAATTACCATAGGAAAACAATGCATATAAATAGATTCACACGTGTCTTTTCAATTCATTTTGTGAAAATTGCATCATCTACACTAAATGAAAGGAGAATTGTATTAGAAAATAACATTCGTCCAAAAAGGGCGATATATATCAAAATTAAACGTATATATTGTACATCAAAGTACATCTTGAGACACTGAAAACTTGGAATAAATAACCTTATGATATCCGGGTATTATCAGCATACATTCAAACACTGTAATACCTGCGACTTTGATTCGAAGTATAAAACATGTTACAATGTATTCCAGTAATCATTTTAGCAATAAAGGAAAATAGCTCATGTCAAAGTAAGTTTCACTATAATCAGAAAAGTTAAAGGCAACAGAAGTTTACCGATTTGCAAATATTATAACATGAGTAAGTCGATTAAGAAAAAAATTTAATCAAGATTAAGAAGTGAAAACTTTACAAAATGTTAAAACCATATTATTGTTATATACAACCTTTTACATTGTTTAATTTTATGTCATACATGATGAAAGGTCATGCTTACAACTTATATAATTGAATCTTATTTAGGATGTTTAGTTTTCCAAAGTTAACATACCAAGCTCTATACCGTACACTTATGTTGTTGGGCCCTTTATTATTTCTGTTTATTCATTTCCGTCAAATGTTAGTGTGTTTATCTCTCCGTTAGATAATTCTTCACCAAAGTAAATCTATCTAACAGTCCATGCAAAAATAATTTATATATATTTTTCAAATGTGTCATATTCAAACTGTCTCCTCGAAAAAAAAGCAATAACGACCTCAGTAGTAGATCTGAAGATTATTTAGGTACATGATAGACTACTTGCAATAAGTTTACTTCAAATAATTCTTTATTATTATTACATTCTGCAATATACTAAACACCCGAATGATAATTAAGAATTTAAAGACAATTTTATATTTTTTCTTTTAGAATTAGCGTAGACAAAATCATGACATATCAACCGGTTCGACTTGTTTTACGATATGTCATCTGACAATCAAACATATTTTCCATTGTGCAATTGAATATTTTAAAATTGCTTTTCCTAGCCATAAGTCAATGTCCTTTAATTTGCACATGTTGTTTATAACATCAAAAATATTCTAAATGTGATATTAGATTAGCAAATCATATTCAAAGAACGTGAATGCAATGCATATATCCATATGTATTAGAGAATTGATAAGAAGTAGTGGTTTCGTAAACGGTAATCAACGAGCGACTTTAGACGCAAGTTGATTATCGTTTCCGAATCCACTACGTCTTATCAATTCTCTAGCTTAACCCATTTCTAGTAAAACGACTGTCCGTTTTACGTTTTGACAATAAATCAACGGAATTTCAAAATATAATTTCGTATTTTGTCTTTTGTATTCTTTAATAGCTGGAAATGATTATATCCACACGGCTCATATCTATATTTAGACATTTGACAAGTTAACATCAGTTTAATATAACTTAAATTGGGTGTTAGTTCCCCTTTTTAACTCCAAATTTCATATTGGTAAGTACATATTTTATTTAATGTTTATTCATTACAAGTTATTAAAATTGAATAGATTTTGGTATTTATGATTTGTTTGAAAAGACATATAATAATACACAGAATTTATCTAACTTCTTTTGAAAAGTTTAAACATTTTAATTACCGAAATTTAGAACCTTTGAAATGTATATATATATATATATATAGTATTTAGCAACAGGTAATAGTATAATATAAGGCCGACCGTGGGAGTGCTGAACAGCCAGTCAAGGTCGTTAAACACTTCCAGTAGTAGTAATAGTAATCAGTTATCTACGGGCTCGTTACCATTTTCAAGCCGTCCTAATCCAATCCGAAAGATTAGCGTATTTGCAAAATACCTACCGTTTCATGAAGCTCCTGTCATGTTGCTTTCCATAATAAATAAAATTATACGATTATGGTTTTATTTGAACAATTATTTTAATTTTTTTTGGTTAAACTGTTTCAGTTTCATTAAGTTTAGATTATTTTAGCGTTATTACATTTAACATCCGTCGTCTACCAGTCAATAAACTAGTATTATCTGTGGTACTCATATCCGAATTCCAAGCAGAATTGCTCTTACTACAGATGTATAATTATGTTGATTTTATAAATTTATAATCTTGGCTTTCAAATTTTCGGCTTTGAGCGTTCCTGATGAAGGTAACTCCAGAATAGCGCTTCTGACGCATGAAAAGCATAACATACTGTTTCATTTTTTTCCTTGTTTTGTTAAGGTGGTACCTAACACTACAGGGAGATAACTCTGTAAAAATCAGCTAAACTTTTTAATTACGTTGTATTGTTAAGGAAATATTAAGCTTCTCAATGATCAAAATTAGTGTTTGTCAAACTGCTATATAACCAATGAAATTTTTCTGAAAAAGTGGTTGGTTCAAATTTTTTGAAATTTTTATATTTTTGTCAAAGGGTCAAAGTAAACATTTTGGCAAAATTTTATGAAAATTAAACGAGCCAAATTAATATTAGTCAAGGTGTTGGGTACCACCTTAAATGGTAAAATTATTCAATTGCTTTACTGAAGAAAGGTTAATATGGCTTTAGCCATATTTGCGACATTTTTGGTGACTATTTAGGATCCTTTAGTTCTTTAGTGCTTTTCAACGTCGTTTGCAATTTGGCCTTCCAACTGTTTTCATTTCAGAGTCGTTGTAGCTCAAACGCATGTCTGTTGTATAAAACCAATAGCTTTGAATCTTCAATGAGTTTAACAATAGCATATATATACTTAAAAGTTTTATCTTTTTACACGTCATTTATACTCTTATGGATAGTTGAATCATTGGTAATCATATCACATCTTCTTAAAATGTGGAGCAGAAACTGTTTACTTACCCTGCTGGAACGCTTGAGATCACCCCTAGTTTTTGGTGGGGTTCGTGTTGCTTAGTCTGTAGTTTTTTATGTGGTGTTGTGTACTGATATTTGTTTTTTAATCATTTTTTTACTTTTCCAGCCATGGAAAATTTTTGGGGACCTTTATAGCTTGCTGTGCGGTGTGAGCTAAGGCTCCATGTTGAAGACCGTACTTTGACCGATAATGGTTTACTTTTATAGATTTTGACTTTGATAGAAAAATGTCTCATTGGCACTCATACCACATCTTCTTATATCTATGACATTGTCAGTTTTTGGTGGGGTTCGTGTTGCTTAGTCTGTAGTTTTTTTATGTGGTGTTTTGTACTGATATTTGTTTTTTAATCGTTATTTACTTTTCCAGCCATGGCATTGTTAGTTTGTTTTGTTGTTTGAACATCCCTTTGATACTTGTCGCCTCCTTTCTCATTCATATTATCTTTATATCATTGATATTGATATGTATTCTGAATTTACCACAAAAATTTAGTACGTACCATCGCGTGGTGTCAATCCTTCAATACATCACCAACTTTCATCGCATCTCACAATCATTTATAATAGTACAGTGAAACCTGTCTAAACCGAACCTCTTCGAGACTTAAGATTTTGTTCGGTTTTTGCAGATGTAAGGTTTCATCAGGTTCACAACGCATCAATTTGATATGACTGGGCTTAAGAAAATGTTTGGTTTGGCTAGGTTTCGGTTTATACAGGTTTCACTGTATATCAAAAATGCTTCGGGATAGTCAACAGGAGAAGGCGTATAAATAAAAACCTTTTTATTGATACAACGAAACAGATGTGTTTTTATTATGATTTTATTTATTTCGAATTTAGATTTTGACACCCTTTATTTTCTTATCCTCTGGTTGACCCTGCTCCCCAGTTCTAAAAAGAAATACAAAACGTCTCAATAAAAATAACTGTCATAATTGACAGAAACTGACTCGCATGGAGTATGTCGTCTCATGTCAATTAAAGTTACTATCAGTGGGACAATAGTTCATTAAATCTCTATGCAACATAACTAAATAATATAAAAAATAAATAAGAATTGTTGAAGGCCGTATTGTGACCTATATTTTCTAATCTTTTACGTCATTTGTTCTTCGGTAGAGAGTTGTCTCTTTGTCAATCATATCTTCATATTTTTATAACAGTAAAACAAGTTCAAATTCGTTTAATGATAAAGATCTGTTGCTAAGCTAGCTACACTTTATGTAAATCTGAGTTCAATTCCTGGGAAATCTGTCGTAATGTGCGTTTAATTAAAAATAGTGTAATGGTCTCATGACACAGCTGTGATATATACATATGTATTTTATGATATTGATTATATCACTACATCGAGTGTGATTTTGTTATTTCTCCACTCAGTTAAATTATAAAGCTTCTCGAACTTGTTTCATATTTGAATTTAACTGTCGAGACTGGAGAAATATCGCACTGCACGAGATTCGGGGGTGCGGACATATCATATTGCCCGATATTCGGGGATGCAGAGTTATCGTATTGCACGAGATTTAGCGGTGCGTGTTGTTTCTCTAATGATTTAAGATGAAATATAATGGCAATTTTATCATCTTTTGTAAATGATCTGCATAAACCTGTCTTCTTTCTTTGCGACGCATTATTTCGTGAACTCCTAATACCAAATTCAGAAATCTTGAAAAACTGATATCAAACAAACCACAAGTAGATAATAAAAATGTCAGTCGGTCGAGGACAGTACATGAGTCAATCAATTTATAACTAAAATAAGTGTTAATACCGAAACGATACCCAACAACAGTTTGTAAATAAATACGCGCAATGTGTCTACACATTTTCCATCAGTGACACTCGAATCAAAAAGGTTGAAAGCCCAAAATAAAGTAAAAGAAAAAATATTAACATATTGTGCTTATCTCCTTGGTAAGCCTATGTATTGCGAGATTTTGGAATTTGGAACCAGCTGCTCAGTGTCCTTCCAAAATATTCTTATTTGAAAATATATGAATATCAGGGTTATTTGTTTAAATGAACTGCTCACCGCAGGTGGTTCATTTGAAGTAGCAGGAAGTTCTCTGGTATCTATCTCTCCAGCAGTGTCAACGGCCCTTTTGTGTCTGCTTCCGTAATTCAGTCTTTTACTAAGTTGTTCGAGGGGTGTAGTAAGGTTCCTTCGGGACTTGGACTGAAAGCAGTAAAATATAATAGGTTACGTAATTTTTATACCAATCAATGAATAATTTACTTCAGACGCCTGCCATTTATTAACACGGGAGATACCCGATAATAATATTAATAAATCTGTACGATGAACGTTATGCTTATATAAACAAGGAATTATTTGAATCTGGAATAAATTTGAATTCTGGAGAATTTATAAGAAATATATGATGAAAACTTACCCAACTAAAAAGTGTTAGCCATGCACACATGGCTAAGGGGGGTAGTTAGTTCATACCGAAATATCAGTGAAGCATGGCTAAACCTATTTAGTTGGATTAGTTTTCACTATACATTTCTTAACATTTCTCCATAGTTCAACAAAATTATTCCAAATTCAAATAATTCATTTTCTGTACCTTAAAAACAGACATAAAATGTTCAAGGAATTGCTCAACAGAAAGACTATTTATTCACATCAGCAGTACTTATATTAGATCATAGTTTACAGCAATGATGGTTTGTTTAAAATTAAATTTGCTAAATATATTAAATTCACGTTTGTCCATTAAAATCTAAACAGAGTTTGTAAAACATTAAATTCAATGTATTGGTTCAATTGTCCAAGGTATTGTATGTTCATCACTTATGATGAAAGAAGTGAAATGGAGTTTCCATGTAAACTCTGTCTTTTATGTTCAAACAAATATACTGTATGCATGACCCTGCATTACACATGTTACATATGACGAAAGAAGGGGAATGGAGTTCTGTCTATTATGTCCAAACAAATATAAGGTATATATGATCCTGTATAACATGTGTTACATATGATGAAAGAAAGAGAATGGAGTGTTCTGGTCATACATTAGAATATCAGTGCCTCTCGCTCATTAAACTAATGGCTGTTCCCTGATAGAAAATAAGAACATTTGATAATTGGATAGTGTGAAATGGTATATATAAATTTAAAACATAACGAAGTGGCAAGAAGACATCACGAAAAAAAACCTGTAATCCATAGGTAGTTTCAAATGAGATGTGAATCAATAAGATTTTATACTTTTGGTTTTTTTCATATCCCTACCCATTATTGAGAGAATAAAAAATGACTTGTTTTGAAAGTGTAATAAAAAAGATTTGCATTATTAATTTTAACTTACGTAATGTCCCTTTATTGTAGTGTAAACTCAACAGACTGAATTTTTGATTAAGGTTAAATCGTGGGAAAAATACGTTATTTGATAGATTATTTCGGCCCTTAAATCTTTACCAAAATATCAAAGATGGAAAATTGTATAATAAAACCCACAACTCTTGATAATTACAAAATCAAATGAATAAAATGTTTTGATAAACTACAGTAGTTTTTATTTTAATCAGGGTAAATAATGACGCTATATGGATCAGTGTTTTACGTTTTTATTATGTTGTTTGAAACTTGGTTTCATCCGGGTTGATTCTTCTGAAGAAAAAGCAACCGTTCTGAAAGCGGAAAAAAATCATATAGATATAAGCATGATATAAATGCCGCTGAACAATAATTCAATCATATCTTATCTTTTCTCAAAGAAATGAAATACAGTCAACCTATTTCGTTACCCTTTACTTTGTAGAATAAACTTACTAAACTAGAAGAAAGGTTGAACTTTTCATGTGCAGCACTAAGACAGTCAGTCTGAGTTAAATCGCCCTTTTCAATTCGTATCATTACTCTTCTACACATTTCACCCTCTCCAACACAATGACCTACTTCCCCAGGTTCAAAATCTTTCACGTCAGACAGGAATACGGCAAGGTAACTATTAGGAAAACATTGTTTTATTACAGATACAAATATTTAAATAGCATGTAAAAATACATATATACATTGTAAGGTTTAATTAATAATATTGTATAATGAAAACATTTTTTTTATGAATTTTGTGCGTTGAAAACGCTTTCCTGGTTTAACTTTCAACAGGAATACTATAACCGAAAATCTACAAAAATGGGTAAGTCCTTCAATACGAAAGGAGCTTTTTTACCACAGGGGACCTAAACGGATCTAGAGAAATTTATCTGAGGTCAAATTGCCTGAGGGACTTGGAACCTTAATTTCAATAATAAAATCGTAAATTTATGAACGGAGTAGTTATGTTAGAAATTATGTCATGGACTGGCGGTTAACCAGCATTGAACTTTCAATTCTTTTATTGTGTAACTATATTTCAAATGAAGCTGCTAAATCATCATATATCCTTGATATAATTTTCCATGCCATTAGAGGAATTTGATTGCTGTTTTCTGCTTATAAAACTGCAGATGACTGTATTGGCTATCAAGATATCATGAACAAATAACATGAAGAAATATCAATGCATTTGCCGTCACTTCATACTATAAAATAACGTAATAACAATAACAACACAAACCCAGTATCAGAATCGTAAAAGTAGTCTCCGATCGCATCAACGTCGCTTAATGAATCTACGGCTGCCCATTTCACCATTCCTCCAAAAACTCTAAAAGAAGCATCGGATGGGATACACACTCCTAATCGTACACCTTGTGATCTGAAAAATTAAACAAATCCTGTGAAAAGACATCTATTGTATAAAGCAGAATCTAGAAATGACACCAAAAGGTCATTAAACAAATTGCAATTAAACAAATACCGTAATAATATTGTTCGTAATTTGGAGAAATGTGTTCAATGCTACATTTTTCATTACGTTATTCACTGTCATTACAGCTCACTTATATACGGTGTAAAAAACTGTTTATTGTTGAAAACTGCATGTTGACCTTTAAATGTCGTTAGGTTGTCTTTGTCATTGGTTTGCTGTTAGATGTATTCACGATATATTCTTTTGTTCATATTAAGAATACTTGAAGGACGCTGTCTAGTGAAAAATCAAAATGAAAATACTGCAAAACACATTATTGTCACTTTAATGGAATTATATGCGACTGTCATACAAATGAGAGGGTAAGTTAGCTATAAAACCAGTTTTAAATCACAATTTTCTACATAAGGAAATGTCTGTACCAAGTTAGGAATATGACATTTGTTTTCTATTCGTTTGATGTGTTTAAGCTTTCGATTTTGCCTTTTGATAAGGATTTTCCGGTTATTAATTTTCCTTGGAATTCTGTATTTTTGGTATTTCTTCTTTTTTCAATTTAAAATGAGATATCATACTAAGATACACATGAGTTTTGTTTTATTCGAAAAAGCCTCGTTGATTATAAGTTATCACTCTCTATCATTTTCTAACAGATACATGTCATGAACAGCTAGTGTATGATGGAGCCATTCTGACAGGTCAATGCTTAAATAATAAAAGATACCAAGGGCCAATGAAACAGCACCTACACGGAAAATAACGCTTGAGCAAAATGAACACCACACAAATGATGTTCGGAAGCGTGACATGTTCCCTGTTCACTTACCGGCTCCAATGTTGGGTATATTCAGTAATATGTCACAAATGAAGAAAAGCAGACGGAATTCGCAGTTTCAAAATCTAATGCATTCTGAGTAACATTTTCAAAAGCGTACACCAAAACGCTGTGATTGGCTTACAACGTCTAAATAATTTCTTTTTTGGGTACACACAATAAAAATTACCCATGGTCCTTTAAGTGCTGAATAAAAAAAGGCAACAGTAGTATACCCTGTTCAAAAGTCATAAATCGATTGAGAGAAAACAAATCCGGGTTACAAACTTAAACCGAGGGAAACACATCAACTATACGAGGAAAACAAAGGAACAACAAGAACACTAAAGTGTAACAAAAACAAACGCCAACATACATAGAAACGAACTATGATAACAACTGCCATATTCCTGACTTGGTACAGGACATTTTAAGAGCAAACTGGTGGGTTGAACCTAGTTTTATGGCTAGCCAAACCTCCCGCTTATAGGGCAATGTTAAAAAATATCGCTACAATGACAACACTACGTGACAGAAATACAGCAAAAACACACGCAAGAACACTCATCACAGAAAAAACACAAACACATAATATTAATGTCGACACAACATGCAAACTGCAGAACAACAACGAACATCTTCCATCAACGACATACACCATAGGACATCACAAACAGTGACGCACTTATGTAACGAACATGCAATCTCGAACTTTATACAATTATTATATAAATAGGTCACGTTCGGTACTTAGCAGACACGATGAATTGTAAAATGGTTTATAAAACATTAACATGCTATACAAATTGCAATCCCGCCTGAGCGTCATTGTGAAATAATCTAGGATTAATAGCATGAGATAGCTTTGTCTTAATTTTGCCTGAAAAAATTATTATCAAATTTAAAAGTTTCATATCATTGTACAAAATAACACTTTCAGTAAAATCAAGAATAGTACAAAATGAACGATCGGATAACTTTCTAATTTGATTTACTAACTCAATAATTATTTGGTATTCCACTTGAAAACTTGTCCTTTTCTTTTGATCGAATATTAAAAAAAAACTTCAACAGGCAAACACCTAACGACACAGATAATCAAAAACATAACTATTTTTATGTATTGGAACTTGATAAGACAATCTGGTCATTTTATATAAACTTCATTTGGAACTTTTTTTTAATTCATTGATTGATTGTTGTTTCCATAACGTCCAGTGTGAACTTTGACAATCCAATGACTTTTAAAATAATTACTTTTTGAACCTACTTTGACAATCCGATCCTTTTTATGTCATTTTTTTTACAATTTACATTGACAATCTGACCATTTTTATGTTTATTTCTTTCGGAACGTTCTGTGAGAATCTGCTCATTTTATATCAATTTCTTTCGAAACTTACTTTGATAATCCGATCATTTGTATATTAATATCTTTCGGAACTTCCTCTTCAAAATACATAGAATAACTGTAACTTTCTCCTGTAATGACGAGAAAGCTGGCATCATCTGGTGAATCCGCATCCACATGGGCGGTCTCGAAATCATCGTCCCTTGTCATCGTTAAAATGTTATCTGAGGAATACTTGATAGCTAACTGTAATAAACAGTAACTTCTTTTTAATTAGAGATTTTCACACTTCTCCCTTACAATATCAAACATTCTCGGTAATACTTCATAAGTGTAAACCGTCAATGCATATGTTATAACTACAATACCCTTTCCTTTTCACGAATGTGACTTACCGAATAAGACTATTTACCGGATTTGTAATAACATAAGCAACACGACGGGTGCCACATGTGGAGCAGGATCTGCTTACCCTTCCGGAGCACCTGAGATCACCCCCAGTTTTTGGTGGGGTTCCTGTTGCTTAGTCTTTAGTTTTCTATGTTGTGTCATCTGTACTATTATTTGTCTGTTTGTCTTTTTATTTTTGGCCATGGCGTTGTCAGTATGTTTTCGATCTATGAGTTTGACTGTCCCTTTGGTATCTTTCGTCCCTCTTTTATAAAAATAAGGAGATGTTGTATGATTGCCAATGAGACAATAATCCATCAAAGTTAGAATAAGGTGGATGTAGGCAATTGTGGGCAACCGTACGGCCTTCAACAATGAGAAAATCTCATACCGTATTGTCAGCTATAAAAGGCCCCGACATTAAAAAATATGAAACAATTCAATTAAGAAAACTAACGGTCAAATTCATAACAAAACAATTTACGAAAAACAAATATGACAGACATGACCGAACGACAACAACTGAGCTACAGGCTCCTGACTTGAGACAGGCACATAAAGAATATGGCGGGGTTAAACGGTGACTATAGTTGTTAACTCATTTGTCATTTGGCCTCTGGTGGAGGGGTGTTTCATTGGCAATCATACCACAACTTCTTATTTTTATATATGCATGTGCGTGTTCCCTTTATTCTAATTTAATAGAATCCTTTGCATAAACGATATTGCGATATAGATGCTACATTTTGTTTTGTTATATTTTCTTTTAATTCTCTTCAATTTCACATATACTTTAGTCTTTCGTTCTTGATTCAAGCACCCCTAATGAGTCCGGTGTTTACAAAACGCCAAAATAGCGTATCAAATTTAAATCCTCATATCGTCATTGAGATTTTGCATAATTGATTTTTCATTTTGAATAATGATACACTGATGATAAAAGGTGTAAACCACTTACTTTACCAAACGCATGCTTGCAGTATCCAAAATTCCAATTTGATCTAATCTTACACTCTTCTGTCATATGGAAGGCTTCAGGACTTAGGACTGCAACAACTGAGTCTTCTGATACACCAAGCTCCGTAAACGAGTTATCCATATCTCTGAAGGTTCGTATATCGTCACCAGTTCGCTGCGTTTCATCCTTAAGAATGACTCTTACTCTGTTTCCTTCACTTGGCTGTGGTAGAAAAAAAATATATTTGTATCTAAAGGAGGATAGAAGTGTACCAAATAACAATCTTATACTGAATTCCTTAAAAACATCTGTAAATGTATCGTATGAAAAGACCTGCCATTCATTGAGCCCAAAATCCAAGCAAAAATCTTTTCTATATAATATTTTCTAAAACAATAACCAGGTTTTTACTTTAAGGGTGCTTGCTAATCTTATTTTTGACTTTTTATGAATGTTAAATGTATAAGAAATCTAAATGGAACTATTTCCTGCAAAGTTTTCAATGGCTTATATCTTAAAAACAAGGACACGGACATTACGTTTTTTCTGCTTTCATTTAGGTTATTTATAAGTCTGATAAAAAGTTTGTTTTGTTGGGTGTTTTTTTAAACAGAGCAGCGAGCATCTTTAACTGATTTAATATGTTGAGCTTGAAGAAACTATTATAATTTTTAGGTTTGACTTGACCGTTTTTATTTTACCGGACTGGTTGCACATGAAATAAGGCATAAATATTTATCTACTGTTAGTAATTAAACAATGTGAATGCTTTCTTGTTTCTGAAAATTATGAAAATGTGATTTCATCAAACTGATGCACATAAATATTCTTTACTTTTTCATTAATTTTACATAAATATGAATCAACACTTTAATAGTTGTATTCTGCGAGAACAGGTGTAAGATTTTAAGATAATTGTAATGATTGTTGATGGGTATCGTTAGCTGCAACGTGTGGCTTAACTGGTGTGTAGAAGGATCTGCTTAACCTTACTGAACACTTGATATCACACCCGGTTTTTTGTGAAGTTTGCGTAGCTCAGTCTTTGGTTTTATTTATTATATTTCATGTACTTTTTACCTTTTCATTGTTTTTCGTTTTGTTTTTGTCATGGCAATGTCAGCTTGTTTTCGACTTATGAGTTTGTTTATCCCATTGGATTATTTCGTCCTCTTTTGTGGCATTCGTGGGCAGTAAAACGTGCATTCCAAGTAAATTAAAACAATGCCAATTGCAGAGTTCAAACTCATAACCTCAATTCTGTCATGTCATTTAACACTGAACTAAGTGTGTTTTTGTTAGATGTATTTCTATTTGTATCCATCTGATGAGTTAAGCCTTTTTCAACTGATTTTTATAGTTCGTTATTATGTTGTACTGTTACACCACTGTCCCAGGTTATGGGGAGGGTTGGGATCCCGCAAACATGTTAAGCCTCGCCACATTCTGTTTGTATGTGCCTGTCCAAAGGCAGGAGCCTGTAATTCAGTGGTTGTCGTTTGTTGATGTGTTACATATTTGTTTTTCGTTCATTTTATGTACATAAATTACGCCGTTAGTTTTCTCGTTTGAATTGTTTTGCATTTGTCATTTCGGGGCCTTTTAAAGCTGACTATGCGGTATGGGCTTTGCTCATTGTTGGAGGCCGTACGGTGACCTATAGCTGTTAATTTCTGTGTCATTTTGGTCTCTTGTGGAGAGTTGTCTCATTTGCAATCATACCACATCTTCTTTTTTATAATTAAAACACTCCGTTACCACGGCCCCTTTTTAAGCAATGAACTTACATCCGAAAAACCAAATTGAGCATTAGTAATACTGTGAAAAGGGGATTGTCCGTGCATTTTATCCCAACCAATGGCTCCCATTTGGTAATATTCATTATCAGCAAAACCATCAAAGAAAACGTCTGTAACATAAATAGGTCCACCTCTCAAGTTGATTCCATTTCTTGGATTGAAACTTTGCCTCCTTAAAATTTTAATCAAGCATATCAACTTATAAATATATCAACAAAGGACCTGTTATTTGCCTGTGTACGGTTAATTCAATTTCTAGATTTGAACATTTCTAACTTACAAGTTAATTCAATAATATTAACCTCTATATTAACACAGCCCCTTTTCTATAGTTGATAAAATTTTGTGGATTGAAACTTTTCATCCTTAAATGTTATATCAAGTCGTTAAAAATCATCTTTTAAGCAAACTCTCATTCATACATCGAATTCAAAATTCAGTTCAAAATCACGAAGCGTACTCAATATATCAATAAAAATATGAACTTTTGATTATCCGATTTTGCTATTAATTTCAAATAATTGTGCATTTTGAAATATTTATTAATCAGGACATGCTACCTAATATTACTTATATATGCATATTTTAGCTTACTTTACCACTAGCTCCTATGTAGGTATTTCTCCCTACGGCATAGTATGCATCATCTATATACCACAAATTTATTTTTAGGATTCCAGTTTATCAAACCTAGAGATTTGTTCCCTTTGTCGATACTTGGTGCTGATTGATGTTTTTTTTTTCGAAAATTGACTAATATTTTTAACATGTACTCTTGACCACTGGTTCCCAACTGTCATACAATTAAGAGGTTCAGTCAGCTATAAAACCAGGTTTAACGCACCATTTTTTTTCAGAGAATGCCTGTACAAAGTCAGGAATATGACGCCTGTTATCGGTTCGATTCTTTGATTGATAAAGTCTCACGTTTGATTTTGTCAGTTTTATATAGACAGTGATAGATGTCCCTCTTTTTAAAATTTATAATATAAATGTTCTGAGATGCCAAGTTTGAGCATCTGTAAGCCAGACACGCGTTTCGTCTACAACAGAATAATCAGTGACACAAGAATGAAAAAAGGGCATTGGAACTACTACCACATCTTCTTATATCTATATAAAGTACGAAAATGAATAGAATTGAGAGCTCAAAATTTCGATAGCATTGAATACAATGTAGCTTTCCTGCTATGTGTTTATCCATTTGGTTGTTGATTTGTTTCCATTGCATCAAGATTCTGATGGCTTTCAATTACTTACATATTTGCAGAAATCAATGGTAAAGATCTTCTAATTGATACGGGTTGGCCGTTAACTGTTGCTGGCTCTCCTAAATTAGGAGAATCTCCTATAAATACACTCTGGTCTATGAACTGCAGTGCAGAGTTCTCTCTAAAAATATCATATACAGAATCACACGATGTAGCATTAGATAAATAATCTTGACTAGCCATAAAACTATGGTCGTTGATATCAAATAGTCTGTTTCTATGTATGTTGGCGTTTGTTTTTGTAGCAGTTCAGTGTGTCTGTTGTTCGTTGTTTAACTCTTTTAGCTGATGTGTTTTCCCCGACTTGTTTCAGTTAAATCCATTTATAACTTTGGAACAGCGGTATACTACTGTTGCCTTTATTTATCTACCACTAATAGTCCACCAAGAGAAATAACGACCATTAGCTTTTTGATAACTAATGTATTTAATTTCTGTTCTAAATAAGTTACTGACATTTATTCTTTATTTCTTTTTTATCTTGAGAATATCGCTTGAACCTCATTCAATTTGATTAAATTCGAATGCTGCAAAAGATATAAGATTTTCAAAAAATTCCTGTGAAAAAAAAATCACAAAATTAATTGTTTTACAAATAGATGCGTTAAAGTGTAATAGACAGTTGACACAGAGATAGGTCTCATTTTAGTAGAATAGAAATCAAGTGGAATTTTCAAAAGCAACTATCTAACACGTTATGATGATATGTTTCAATGGACAATAACTGAAGTGTTGAAGCCGACTAATACTGTAGAAATGTGGAAATGCAAATGCAAATACAATTGCATATCAAACACCATTGACCTACAATTTATGGATCCGCTTATGACTGTAAACCAACTTATTTTCGCGGATAATCTATTTCGCGTTAAGCCCTTTCTATCCCTATTCGCGGCGATTTTCAAATTTACTTAAAGTAGTTGAATGAAAATCTCTAAGTTTTACGTATTCGTGACAATTTATATTCGCCTTATTTTTCTACCCGTGAAAGTCGGTTTACAGTATTTAATTGTCACAAGCATGACACACATAATAATAAAATCTATGGACGTGTTGAATATTAGTTTTCCATGACTGAAGGGACGGGCCACATGGTTTCCATTTGTCAACCCTAATACAAATGAATTCCATATGACAACTGTAAAAGTATTACTTGTCTTTGTTAATTATTACTTTGACTGTTTGGTTTATTTTTGGTAAATCCCTTTGACGTAGCTCGGTACTTATACATCAAACTGAACTTATACTTGTGTGTGCGTTGATGTTCGTTGATGTGTGCTCTTTCATACGTGTATGTGCTTAAATGTAAAACTCACTTTACTACACTAAGTAATTGAGCGCTGTCTGATAACCTGTAAAAGTAAAAAAAATATTACAAATGAATGTATTCATCTAAATCAAATTATGTAATCCAATGTTGTTGTAATGCGAACTTAATATAACTGGGACGTGTTGCAAAAAACTCGACTGATAGAAAAAAAAAGAAAAGAAATAGAGTTTTAAATTGGGGGAAAATGAAAAATTATGGACTGTAAATAATTGCTGTAGTTTTTAACATTTGCATAACAAGTACAATTAACATTCCGATCATGTGAATATGAATGCCTTTAAACGTATTTGATACTAAAATATTTAGAACTGATTATCTTCTAAATTTTACAGAGTAATGTGATAACAATCTAACGTTTGAATTTTCACCGTTTCGTTTTTCCTTATCTGAACTCCTACATATGAAACCAGTAATAATAATTCTGTGTGTTTATGTCTTACATTACAAGGGACGTATTTCCGCAGTCTTAGGTCTTCAGATGGAAGAAAAATTGTCTGATTTGTACCTTTTCCGATTGTATACTATTCCCGATTGTGGCATTTTCTGTGTACAAGTAAATTGGAAGTGAATTTACGACATTTGGGTATCGGTACATTACAGCTGCGTCTAGTTTTCAAATGTTTCTTCCAGTTCTTAAACAAAAATAAATATAAATTGTGAACAAATTTCAAACTCACAAGTCGAAAATTATACTTTGAATAGTTACTTCCGATCACGTGATTCACTTTGAATAGTTTCTTGCGATCACGTGCTTTTCTTTGAATGGTTTCTTACGATCACGTGATTCACTTTGAATGGTTACTTACGATCACATGATTCACTGTGAATGGTTACTTACGATCACATGATTCCCTGTAAATGATTACTAACGATCACGTGATTCACTTTAAATGATTACTTACGATCACATAATTCACTGTGAATGGTTATTCACGATCACGTGATTCACTTTGAATGGTTCTTTACGATCACTTGATTCACTTTGAATGGTTACTTACGATCTCATGATTCTTTTTGAATGGTTACTTACGATCACGTAATTGTTTTTGAATGGGTACTTACGATGCACGGACAATTTTGATCATTCCTCCTCTGATCCATGCATTTCTAGGGGTGTTTTTGTAGGCTAAAATTAATGAAAAATTATTGAATCACTTCATATTGTATTTGTGGTCTCATTTACAAATACCATTCAATTTTAAAATTCGTGTTATGAATACATAAAAAACAATATAACAAACTCAATCCCAAGTTAATATTCCTCTAAGAAATAAAACAAATCTATTTTATATTTCGAAACTTACCTGTGATAGTGTAAATATCTAAATATAAAATACGTATTTTTTTGCGAAGTTGGACCATTAATGTGACGCGCAGTTTATATTTTGTGTGTAGTGTACGGGACTGCTTTCGTAAATTCATGGGAGGTGTCCGTTGTCATTCTGTTGTTTACATGTTGTAATGTACTATTTTATTATTTATCTATGTATTTCTATGTGCTGAGTGTTCTTGCATTTGTTTGTACTGTATTCCTATCACGTAGTGTAGTCATTTTTGCTGTATTTTTAACATTGCCATATAAGCGGGAGGTTCAGCTAGCCATAAAGCTAGGTGCAACACACCATTTTTCTTAAAATGTCCTGTACCAAATTAGGAATATGGAAGTTGTTATCTGCAGTCCGTTTTAATGTATGATGGCGTTTACATTTGTTGTAGTTAAGTGTTGTTTTCCTCTTATAGTAGATGTGTTTCCCTCGGTTTTAGTTTGTTACTCGGATTTCTTTTGTCTTAAACGAATTATGACTCTTGAACAGCGGTATACTACTGTTGCCTTTTTGAAGTCCCATTAAAGAATCGTTAAATAGTAAATTATTATAAGAATTAACTGAACATAGATACCATTATTAAACATTTGTCGTTCGTTGCGGTATATCATATTTGTACGTTGTTTTGTACGTAAATCAGGCTGTTAATTTTTATCGTTCGAATTGATTATATTTGTCATTTCTGTGCCTTTTATAGCTGACTATGTGATACGGAGTTTCTATTTCTGAAGGCCGTAAAGTACCCTATATTTGCTAGCTTCTATAGCGTTTGGTCTCGGGTGTAGAGTTGTCGTATTAGTAATCATACCACATCTTCCTATTTTCTTATATTTACACAACAAGTATAAGTAGAAATTATTACTGTTGACAACTCACATTTTAGGGAATTATTCACTCGAGAAACTTGTGTATCTTTCGCCCCTCTTTTATTTAACTTTTTATAACACAACCTTGTAAGAATATATAAATATACTAATACCTGTCATTCTGTTTATTATTGATGGTTTATCAGTAGAGTTCTTATATTTCAGATGCATTATGGGATCTTCCTTAGGTTTATATCTGCTGTATCCCGTAGCACTTCCATCAGGATGAAATTCGTTATCAAGAAAGAATCCATGCTGAAATTTATGTAGCAAACAGAAGTTATGACATAAAAAAAGGAATGGAAATGGGGAATGTGTCAAAAAAACAGGGTTTTCAACACAGCGAGGAATTCCCGCACCAGGAGGCGGACTTCAGCTTGCCCCTAAACAAAAATGTGTGCTAGTTCCGTGAAAATGGACGTCATACTAAACTCCTTAACATATAAATGAACTAAAATTAAAAAAAAGCATACAAGACTAACAAAGATCATAGGCTCCTTGGGACAGGCGTAAAAATGCGGCGGGGTTTAACATGTTAAGTGAGATCTCAACCCATCCCCTTTACTTCTAGCTAGTGTAGATTAAACAAACACACATACAGTATATACTGCACCTCAATCAATGGTAGTGACATAGATATAAGAAGATGTGGTATGAGTGCCAATGAGACAACTCTCCTTCCAAGTCAAAATTTATAAAAGTAAACCATTATAGGTCAAAGTAAGGTCTTCAACACGGAGCCTTGGCTCACACCGAACAGCAAGCTATAAAGGGCTCCAAAAATTACTAGTGCAAAACCATTCAAACGGGAAAACCAACGGTCTAATCTATATAAAAAAAAATACCCACTAAAGGCCCTCACACTTTTGAATGTTGCGTACTATAAATTTTTAATTTTTAATTTTTAAATCAATTTGAATGAGATAATCTGATCTAGTTCAACTCCTAAAACGACTTTTTGTAGATATTATAGAATATTTTTTTTTATTGATATAGAAAACACATGATCAGGATCATTACACTTATAAAAGAATTTTAAAAGCTTCGAGTAATAATTGTGTTTGATTCACTATAATGCACCTTTCAGAATATGCCATACATTTTTTGTACGTCACAAACAACGTAGCAGCAGGGGGAGAGGTAGGTGTTGACTTAATTTGCATCTTAAGAATGTAGAGGAATATGTGTACAAAATTATGTAAAACCCATGAAACTGTCATATAGGTATTTAAGAACAATTGTATAACTGCAAAGGTAAAAAGGTAACATCAGATTATAACTGCCTCTGGAACCTGGAACATGTTTAGACATTGTTTAAGCATCAATATTATATTGGGGGTATACTGATACATACTACATCCGTTGAAAATAAATTTAAATATTATAAACATTTATAAAGAGTATAAGTCTCATCTGATTGGGTTAAATTGATATATCGTTTATTTTTAACGGTATTCTCAATTTAAACAAGTAATGTATTCAGCTGTAATAATTTTATTATTTGAAAATATCAACAAGATGTTCTGTTTGGAAAAAATAACAATGCCACACATTTTTATACAAAACCGAGGTGAAAAGATTTTCCATGCCTACCTTTTCATTTGAATGGGCAACATTGTTGTCGAACTCAGTAATAGCTGTGTGTCTTGCTTCATCTTTTAACATGTATCCTTTGTTAGCTGAAGGTCCTGTTGGAATTCGTGGATATGTAAACCAATATCCTCGTCCCTATATAAAAATAAACATATGTTAATACGTAAGCTCACGAATGGATGGAAGGTTGAATGGCTGTTTCATGTCCAGTGTACACTGCATGTACACTAAATGCATATTCAGTGCTACAATATTGTAATGTGATATCCATATTAACCATGCTTTTTACAGATCGACATGTTTAGCCGAATTTTAAACGTCCTAGTTTACAAGGTAACAGTCTGAACGAACAAAAATCACCATAACCGGGGTCATTATTCTGACTACGAGCCGATCAATTTTTGGTCATTCTTCCAATAGATGCTAGCCAGAGAAACAGTTTATTCAAATTTTCTAGTCTTTGGTTTGACCACATGGAACCCAAGTCCTCCTACGCCCCAGGCGAGCACGCTACCACGATACATCAAAGAGGATTCATAATCCCTTATGGACTTTTAAGTTTCATCCATTCACAGAGGAATGGACAAATAAAGACACCAGTAGTTTACCACTGTTCAATATTTATAAATCGATTAAGAGAAAACAAGTCCGCGTCACAAGACCTCATTTTATGGCTTGCCAAACCTCCCTTTTATTTGGCAATGTTCAAAATACCGCTAAATAACAACATAACGTGACAAGAATACAGTACAAATTTAACGCAAGAACAGAACAACAACGAACAATTAATTTACGACAGTACACCAATATACCCTAAATATGCAAAGTGTGAAAACAACCTCCAGATAAGGTTATACTGCGATCCTTCAGATATATACCATTACATGATCAAAACCCACCATGCATAAGAAATAAGAAAAATATAGTCCCAATTTTCTAATAAATCTATGGATAAAATATAGTTGGTTATAGGGGGAAGCCAGAAATTACCAAATCTTCAACAGAAATATCATTGATGCAATTATGTTCATTAAATGTAGTGTCAATAAATTGCTTAGTTTGAAAGTAACACTAAGATTCGTCAACAACAAGGGTGATAAGGGGGATAACCATTGCTAAATATTGCTTTATGATTTTGAAACTCCGTTTTGATTTGACATCCAACTGTTTTTGGTTCGAGCACAAAAAATCAGACTGTAATAAATGTGTTTGGTGTTTACTTATAATATAAGCTATATATACTTAATAAAGTTTTGTTAAACACTGACGTATACATTATAGTTACAACTCGACTTGTTCTGGTAAATAAAATATATGTGCGTATATTTACCCTAATACAAATTGATGGTCATCTGTAACAGATACAAATAAACAAAAAAATACTTTTTACTGTTTTGTTCAATTGACTTTTGTTTAAATTTTATCAATTTTTATAGCCTAAGATAACCAAACATTATCAATTCATAAAAACAGCCGGAAGATATGCAATGATATACAAATTACAATTATATAAATGCATAAGTAATAGCATTTTCAAAACAACAAAGTGCATTGAAATATTTAAATTTTCTTATCCCAGATGAGTGAAGGGTGACTCAAAAAGAAACGTTCACTAAATAAACATGTGATTGAGTACTGACCTGCTCAAACTTTTATTATGAGAATACAAGTGAAATTTTGGTTAAGTGATAATTCGCCGTTACAAAATCTAACGCATTATCGGTAATATTTTCAACTCCGCACCAAACAACTATGTCATTATTTCAAAACGTACTAAATAATGTTTGCTTGTTTTGATTTTATATCTCGTCTCACTATTTTTTATATGTACCACCTTTGATACGTGTTTAGTATTACGATAAATTTTAACTTCTGATCTAAAAATTATATTGTAAAAAGTTTTCCGTACTCCTAAAAACAAAATTATTAAATTTAAAGTTACCTTGTACATTATTTTATTCAACGCCATTTTGTCCCAAGTTATATTTGACTTTTTGACATTGTTTAACATATTGTTTTATTATTGTGTCATAGATCCCATTAATTCGTTCAGTGTATAAAATAAAATAACAAAATAACCGAACTCCGATGACAATTCTAAACGATAAGTCCCTATGTAAATGGCAAAATCAAAAGCTCAAACACATCAAACGAAATGTATAACAACTGTTTCCGTATGTTTACCTGTTTTGTTAATGTTTCTTTTTGAGAGAGTTAAGTCATTTAAATGTATATTGCATAGTGTGTCTGTCTATGTTGTAATGTTATACTACTGTTTTAGGTTAGGACAAATGTTGGCGCCTGTTAAAACGTTTAAACCAGCTGCATTTGTTTGCACCTGTCCTGAGTCAGGAACCTGTTGTTGAGTTATTGTAGTTTGTTGATATTGTTCATAAGTGTTTCTCGTTTCTCGTTTTTTTAAAGTACGAGTGAGAGGTTTAACTAGCTATAAAACCAGGTTAAATCCACCATTTTCTACATAAGAAAATGCCTGTACCTAGTCAGGAATATGACAGTTATTATCGATTCGTTTGATGCATTTGATGCGTTTGAGCTTTTGATTTTGCCATTTGATAAGGGACTTTCCGTTTTGAATTTTCCTCGGAGTATTTTTGTGATTTTACTTTTTACATTGATTAGACCGTTCGTTTTTCCTTTTTGAATGGTCTTACACTAGTAATGTTTTATACCTTGCTGTTCGGTTTGAGCCAAGGCTCCGTGTTGAAAGCTGTACTTTAACCTATAATGGTTTACTGTTACAAATGTCACTTGTATGGAGATTTGACTCATTGGCACTCATACCACATCTTCTTATATCTTTAAGCAATGGAAATTCAAAGTTGTTTATATTTTAATTTACCATGAGATTTACCCATAGTTCTCTACATTCTAAAGAGGCAAATTAAGCTAACACCTACCTCTCCCCCTGCTGCTACGTTGTTTGTGACGTAACTAAGAGGATTTGTAATCCAGAAGGTAGATGGTGTTCTGTAAAAAAAGGTGAAATTCCAGATTCATATTTTGCCAAAATGTCGATCTTTGTTGATTTGGTAAAGAATGTGATTAGTTGATTGATTGTTGGTATTCAACACCTCTTTTTGTACTATGAGCTATATCGTAGTGACCTGTGTTTATTGTGGTGGAAGCAGGAATGTTCGGAGAGAACTACAGACTATTGCAAGGAAATGTGACAATCATTTGCAATAAAGATTGGAGTTAAACCCATATTACAAGTTCAACTCACAACCTCAGTATTTACAGGCTAATGATACAGTAGATAAGCTAATTAGACTAATTGACTGCTTATGCCCCCTACAGAAAGTGTCACAAATATATAATATCTTTCACCAAAGAGAGGCACTATGTGGCCCCTCGATATAATAATCTTACCAAGTTTTACATAAATTTTAAAAATTGAAGGTGTTATTTTTACTTTCTAAGCGGAAATGCATACACTTACAAATTAAGAAAGTTGTTATGGAAAGAGAATTGAAGTTATGAGATATTTAAGATATTTACTTATCAGCTTTAATGAGTGTTCCTTTTTCCTGACCGAGTCCTAAGTTACCGTTTAATACCGTTCTCTTTTCGCCGCCATCTTCCAAAAAATAACCGTGACCCTTTGTCATGTAACATACATTATCGTCCACCTAAATATAGAAATATAATTACAAATTACTTTCATTTTTATGCATTCAATCTGAAAATAGATTACCTTAGCCTTTTTTCAAAAACCTTTCGTAATTCGGGTCCTCAATGCTCTTCAACTTTGTATTTTATTTTGGCCTTTTTTTATTCGAGTGTCACAGATGAGTGTTTTTTAGTCAGCACGTGCATGTCTGGCATACATGTTATGTCTCGTATCTATGATGCGTTTATTATCCATATGAGTAACTATTGTAATGTAAGGGCATATCTTGAGTAATATATGTCACTAGTAAATAATGAATTGATTCCACTCCCGGTGCACTCGAGTAATATATGTCACAAGTAAAGAATGAATTGCTTTCGCTCCCGATGCGCTCGAGTTCACCAATTTTTTTATGGGTATAGCTTCGGTCGACTTTAATTTTTCTGTTAAATGTTTTGTGGCCTTCTTTAGCTGACAATGTAATATTTGTTCGACTCATTGTTTAAGGTCGTAAGGTGAATAAACTCATTTTATATACCAGGATTGAAATTTTGTATTTGCGCCAGACGCGCGTTTTGTCTACAAAAGACTCATCAGTGACCCTCGATTCTAAAAAAATAAAAAAGGCCACATAAAGTACGAAGTGAAAGAGCATTGAGACCCAATTGACTTATTGGTGCAAACTTCCCTGTCATTTGTTTTCTGGTGGAGAGTCTTATTTGCAATTATACCTCCTCTTCCTAATTATATATTTTCGTCTTTTCGGCGATTGTTTTCTTTTTTATAGTATTTTATGTTAATATTTTTTGTTTTATTCGGGGTTTTTTCAACAAAAACGACGGATTTTTTTATTTAATTTGTATTGGTGGTCGGTATTGTGTTATACTTTTTTTCGAACATAACCAATAGCCGTACTTACAATAAGACCATGTGTTCCGTGAACAGTAACACATCTGCTGTTGGAATGATGAATAGCGTTGTGTTTGATCCATGGCCTTGTAGCTTTATTCTCATCAACATCCTCACATATATGGAAATGAATTGGGTATCTGCCTTTACGTTTAAATAACAAACATAAAATTATTGAATATAAAGACAATGAGGTGTGGTAGGAGTGACAACAATACAATAACATTAGTAATACCAATGTTACTACCCCCGATGCACATTTCGACAACTTATGATCTGCAGTGATGTTCGATGCAAAATATTTGAGAATTCAAATCCAAAGATGGGCTAGTATCCACCAGAGACCAGATTTCGACCATAATTTAGTAAATGAAAAGATGACTTTCCAATGGGAACCAAATGTGCTAAATTCCAGTCGTTGCATTTCCTATCATAATTTATTAATAGATGGTTGCTATTTACAAGGAAATTATAAAATCAAAAGTTCCAAGTAGTGAAGGTGTAGTCATCTCTTCTATCATGTTGCGGACGCCATCAAAGCTCTCCATTTCGTACTCAAAATCCCAAGGATTCCGAACATATGACAACAATTCCTAAACCTGACATGACTTCCTCTTTAAGTTATTTTTACGTACCTAACACTTCTTGCTGTCCAAGGTCATTGAATTCTGCATTTTCAATATGAACACTTTTGAATCCTTTCAGTACCTAAATATATAGAGTTAAATGAAATGACATTTTCTATATGCACGCTTTGGAATCCTTTCATTACCTGAATATAGAATTTAATGTGATGACATTTTGAATATGAACGCTTTCGAATCCTTTCAATACCTGAATATATAGTTAAGGTGGTACCCAACACCTTGACTAATATTAATTTGGCTCGTTTAATTTTCATAAAATTGTGACAAAATGTTTACTTTGACCCTTTGACAACAATATAAAAATTTCAAAAAATTTGAACCAACCACTTAATCACAAAAATTTCATTAGTTATATAGCAGTTTGACAAACACTAATTTTGATCATTGAGAAGCTTAATATTTCCTTAACAATACAACATGATTAAAACGTTTAGCTGATTTTTACAGAGTTATCTCCCTGTAGTGTTAGGTACCACCTTAAATGAAATGCTAATCTAGAAGCTCATTGTGCGTATTAATCAACAAGTATTACCAGTGGCTAAATAAAACAGAAACAATAAGGTGATTTCAAAAACTTTGATCTCATTTACTAAGAAGCAGACACTGCAAAAAGGATTAAGCTCAATTTCGAAATTAGTTCCTTGTAAATTTTGAATGCTTAAATTGAAGTTATTTTTGTTATACATTTTAAACCTTTAACTTATAGTTATGAATGGAAAGGACTGTGTGGTAGAACTATCATTCATCGTGTAGTTGACAAATTTCCCTACAGATCTAACCGGTCTTTCTCCCTTTGGATGTAATACAATTGTTTTCACTTGATGTGATAACTAAAAATGGATTTAGGATATTTAAACATAAAAGTTAATGTAAAATATCGTATTTTACAAACTGCTTCATATTTTATCTTCAAAAGGTTTATTTCGTGACAGTTTGTGCTTGGCGTTCATCAAAATCGTACTCCGAGTGGACGTGAATAAGTAATCCGTACACTTTCAGATCATCTAAGATCGTTTCCGGTTTTGTTCGGGTTCGTGTCATCGCCTATTGTTTTTATTATAAAGTGCATTGTACACTCTTGACTCTTTTCTCTTTTGCAATGATGTTTTGAAACTGTTGTCGACATATGACTAAAGATTCTTCCCCTTTGGTATATTCTTCTTCCTTTTTGTATAAGAAACAAGTGTCCTATCAACAAGAACATTTTCCATTAGGTGATTCCCTAGCTATAAATAGTTTCTCATTGTGTTTGACTTTTGTTTACACAGTAATATACTTACCTTAAGGTTTCCACCATATGTAGTTGACCCTTCAGCATCTTCACTGTCGAACAAAATGTTTCTGGTTAACAGTCCAACTTCGCCTCTCATATCAACGTTTTTGTAGATTTCTCCATAGTGAGTGAACTTCAACGGACCTGTCGGAAATGAAGGATACATGAAAAATTAAACACAACAGTTCTCGTTTCCTCAATCTTTTGTAATGTTTTCCAACTTAACATCTTTTCCTTTCCCTTTTCGACATCCCTACTTTTTAACTTCCAATATTCGTATATCATCTCCCTCACAATAGGCAGCATTTAAGTTGGTTTGCTTTTGCTCTATAGACTCAATCTTTTATTATTCATATGTGAAAACAAAATCGTTATGGAGATTATTCAATGTTATTATTCTCATGTCCATCTGTGTCAGTTTATCACTGAAATGCTTTCGACATTCACCATACAACCGAACAACTTATATACGCGTAAACAAGTTCTTTAAATTGCTTCATGTAATTGCATATTCTTAGCCAAAAGGAAAATAAGAATTCTTTGTCTAAGACAAATTGCCGATAAACAAAGAATGGCCTTTTATTTTTCAAAATGACTTCTTCAGTTAGAACATTAGCTCGGCCAATCAGGATCGCTTCGTATATTTGTTCAAGTCCGTATCAAAATCAAAAATACATTGAACTTTATCTTTCATTTTTCAAATACCTTTTATTTGAAAATTCAAAGTAAAAATCACACTTTATATAATTTCGTGAGTCTGAACCGCTTTTCTGATTTTACTCTTCGTTTAGATTCCCTAAAACTAAAAAAGACCAGCAAACGTGTGGAGTTAGAAATAGTTGTCAATTTCATCTGATGTAAACGTTGCCTGATGCAGTTGAAACCTAATTTTTTCATAGTTAATTAATTTACTCACGGAGAATAAGAAACAATCATGTTATAAATTGTGAGATAAAAAAATAGCAATCGAAAGGTAAAAAACGTGTATGAAAAACTTTTTTTTTTTGGAAACTGTTCACAAAAATTAGGCAGAATACTAAAGATTCACCAACAATCTCATTATAATCTTGATAAAATTGTGGGAGTGTCTAGGTGTGGTCACGTGAGTTTAATTATTACAGATACCTACCCGATACCCGTATTTGTTTATCATTACAGGACGGACATTCAATGAGAGTTGGTGTGTCACGTGAGTTTAATTAGTACAGATACCTACCCGATACCCGTATTTGTTTGTCATTACAGGACGGACATTCAATGAGAGTTGGTGTGTCTAGGTGTGGTCACGTGAGTTTAATTAGTACAGATACCTACCCGATACCCGTATTTGGTTATCATTACAGGACGGACATTCAATGAGAGTTTTGTCTTCAGCCTGCCTCCAGTCATAGTCGGTAGATGCAATAACAACAGTATCTCCTGTAAAGAAAACTTGAGATGATATACATTCATTTGAAAAAAAAACGAAAAAACGACGGAAAGATATACACGGATCACAATATAGAAAACTAAAGTCTGAGCAACAAGAACCCCATTAAAACCCGGGGGTATTTTAGGTTCTCTAGAGGTTAATTAATCAGATAATGCACCATGTTATGCAGTTATTATTGTAACTGATGTCATGACAAATCTTGAAGTGAAATGATTTTGCCTTTTTTACTTAAAATATTTGAAATTTGACTTCATGGATACGAAATAAGAAAATAAGATAGAAAATATTACATTGCAAATTAGACAACTATTCGAATAAGATCAAATGCTGTGTAAATGACATCAGGTCACTGTATGGCTTCAGTAATTAGAAAAAAATCAACCGGACAGTAAGCCTAAAAAGCTGCAGAATAACAACAATCAGAAAACTGCAAAATTCGTTTATTTATTTGTGTAAAACATTAATATAGAATTACAACTTTAGCTACCTGCTTCCCATGTGCTGACATCTTCTATGAAAGTCAAAACCGGTCTGTACTTCAAATCGACTGCGACCAAGACTTCAGCTTTGGACATTCTTTTCATATTCATGTCAAATGTACTCGTCACTACGACGATAAATTCTGCAAAGACCATGGAGACTTCTGCAATTGTTTTGCCTTCCGACTTTACTGGAAGGTACTGTTCTTGTGTCATGGAATTTGAACCTGTAAAGAGAATATGCCCAATCATCGTAGGTATTCCTAAGCGGATTAATTGTTTACCTTTTGTTGTAAGTAGAGCGTACATTTATTCTGAGTATACCTGAGTGAATTGCTTGTTTTACCTGTTGTTATAAGAAGAAGGACCACCATTATGATGGAAATATGTTTTTTTTTTTTGTTGCAAAGACTAGCTTTTCAATCAAAATTTTTAAAGAAAAGCATAAATAGCATTCTGAGTATCTTATTATTTTACCTTTTGTTGTAAGAAGAGCATACATTGCATCCTCAGTATCCCTGAGCGGATTCATTCCTTTTGTTTGTTCAGCTAATATTTCAATTGCTTCAAGTGCTCCACTGATGTCGCCTCTTCGGGGTAATTCTTTGTGTACTGCAATACCAACTATGTTACCATTGGGAATACCTGTATTGTTCATACCAAAATATAGTTATAACAAATAAAAAGTGATCTGTTCATAAGAAGAATTCTGTCATAATCACCGCAAGGTATTCCCAAATAAAATATTTCTATAGTCCTTCATGAATAATGCGCGAATTTTTAAATGTTGTCTGACAAAGGCGTCTTGCTCTTTTAACTAAACAATCACTGACAAAAACATGATGAGATGTTACTAGTAATTTTATATGAGAAAGCGCAATTTTTGCTACAGGATGTCATACACAAAGATATATACGTGCATAAAATATATTTTTGGTCAGATCTAGGCTTCTATCTGACTTTGTCAATAACACTGTTTATATCAAATCAAATAAAAAAAAAATTGAAATGGTACGTTTGTCTTATAAAAAAAGGATCTGGATAAAGTTTACAGAATCAAAATACTGGGGCAAACTACAGAAAAAATGTGACAACAGAAAAATAATACAGAAAAAGGGCCAAAGAATAAAGATTACATAAAAAGGGAAAAAAATAAAGAATACGGAAAAAGGGCCAACAAATAAAGAATACGTAAAAAATGGATACAAATAAACAGTTGAGAATAATGGTGTGCTCAATTATAAAGATTTTAGAATAATGGGTAAAAATTATAAAACCTAGAAAAAAATAACATAAAACATCAACGAATACAAAAAAGAAGGAACCCGCATCCAGTCCTGTTAAAACATCTTAAAGAATCGATAGTAAAGGAGTAGGTTCATAAAAATATTGGTCCTTAAATTTCATGGAATTTAACTTTATCAATCAAAGTGACAATGGATGAAAGAATGTACAATTATCTGACTAATATGAATTTATTAAGCTCTTATTGCATACAACTGTAATGCTATCGTTATGACATCATCATTTTGTGGTTTAACGTTGAAAATCAATATTTTTAAGAAACGAATATGCCGGTTCAATTTTGAATATTTTTGCCTCAGAAAACCTTGGCCACATGCATTGACCACCATGATTGTTGACTTTAATTTGTATCTCAACATATATAAATCTATTAAACACATCTGTTTTGGTGCAAGGGTGTGACCGATGACTTTCAGAAATAAATATACCTTAAAATATAATCTTTTTCACTCGGATTACATCATTCCTCACTTTACACATGTGATCTGCACGTATCGTATTTTGTTGAAACATTGCATTAAAGAATTCTACAGCACTGTCAAAATAGAGAAACATAGCTACAGAATAGAAACAAGTGTGGTGTTAAAATATAAAGAATAGACAAAATGAATAAAAGACAGAGAAAAATAGAAAGAAAAACACAAATAAGAATAAAAAATTAAGGGATCGCCATCCATACACTCCTATATATCTAATTTCAGTCAGACCATACGTAATAAATAAAGTCTATAATTAATCTTACTTTCTAAGAAATTTACAAATGTTACGATAAGTTCTCGATATTTTCTACGATTGATCGCAAAGTTGAAGAAAGCTGAGTCAACCAGCTCTCCTGTAAAGGGGTTGATACTATAAACAGCAAGTCCTTTACTATTAGTATTTTCCTGTAAAAGAAAACAAATATTCAAATTAAATCCAAGAATCTTGATACAGTTGCAGGTTCCACCAGTAGTACGCAATTGTTAATCTGAGCAACTTTTAATAGATTGAATAAAAAATTCATTTTCAATTTTTCATTTTTCGTTTTTAACTGTTAATTTCGTTTTCAGTTTTTCTTTCTATTTTTTTTAATCTTTCATTTTTAGTATTCAATTTTGAATTTTTCGTTTTCAGTTTTTCTTTTTTTTTGGGTTTTCAATTTTTCATTTTTCGTATTCAATTTTGAATTTTTCGTTTTCAGTTTTATTTTTTTGGTTTTTAATTTTTCATTTGCTGTTTTCAATTTGGATGTGTTCGGTCTATATTCAGACTGTTCACTAGCAATTATCAACCAGTATACATCAGCATCATACTGAATTACTTGAAAGTATCTAAACATTGCTGAATTAGACGCAAACGAATTGTCGGGACAGTACTGGAATGTCCGCGATGGAAAAGTCTGAAGGTGTACTGAACATGATTGAATAATTTATTGTTTAGACTTTTCAGATGATTTTCAGAAATTACCGTTTTTGACTAAATGCATTGCTAGTGCGTAAACAACTGTAAGCCTGCTATCGTTAAAAGAGTTAGATTTCAGTAGCATCATAATAAGATTGTTGACGATCAAAGCAAAAATATTCGTTGCACTTTGTACAATATTCAAATATACATGTAATCAGCCGTTGATGTTCTCGTTTGAAATGTTTCACATTACGGGGCATTGGTAGTTTTCTAAACGTTATGCGTTTTTTGCTCATTGTTGAATGCCGTCAAGTGACCTATAGTAACTATCTTCTACGATAGATGGTCTCTTGATGGTATTTGTCTTACTTGTATTGGCAATTAATCCAGATTTTCTTACGTTTATAAATGAACAGTGAATGAAAACGGGGAATGTGTCAAAGAGACAGAAACTGCGACCAAAGAACAGAAAACAGCACAATATAAACATGCAAAAAATACTGATACCAAAGGTCAATTTAATATATTCATAAGCCCAAGACAAACTGACATTAACATGGCAAAAAACTTAAGACTGAGCAATACGAACCAACCAAAAACCGGTGTGATTGTATGTGTTCCGGAAGTCTTAACAGGTTCTGCCTTACATGTCAATGTGACACCCGTCGTGTTACTCCTATAAATAATGTTGTTGTTCAGTTATATCAAACTTTAATTGGTAATTAACACCTAACTTACCGAAATAATCTACCACATTCGTAAACCATCGCCCGGTCATAGAAATCAATTCAATCAATAAATCTCTGATCGTTGTATATTTCAGTATATCAAACATTTTACTTACATGATGGCTAGCAATTACGTCTGTTGCTGTGTTTAATTTAGTAGCGGTCTGCGCTAGCTTCGTCCAGGAAAGTTTTGGTTTTCCGTGAATTTCGAGTGTTCCGCCAACAGTAACAAACAATGCTTTATCTCCGCCAGCACCAAGATTGTTTTCTTCAACATTTCCTGTATAAATCGATTCAAATAAGCATAAATTAAAAAACAAAAATATTCCGAGAGACATAAATGAAGGTTCGATGAAATGGTGACGTTCAGTGTCGTCTTTGATAAATAGTCATTTAATTTAACCAATATATTTTATGAGTCTGGTTAGCTATAGGTACCTATCATTCTTATTTTGTGTGGTTACGGAAAAGTTAAATCATAAAAATACTGAACTCTGAGGAAAATTCAAAATGAAAAGTCCTTTATCAAATGGCAAAATCAAAAGGTCAAACACATCAAACGAATGGATAATAACTGATTTTGTGTGGTTACAGAGCGGGGGTTTATTCTATAAGACTAGTTTCACCTATAATCAAACACACATGTTTTTTAATAGCAAACAAGAAAAGAAAGTCTTCATTTGTTTAATGATTTAATAATTTTTTTCATTTAATCCCTGCATTATTTTTTTCAGAAAAATTCCAATCCAACAACAAAAATATAGAATATTAATCCTATATAGCCAATGTTTATTGTCAAATTTGGTATCAATCCTATAATTTTGGATTTTAAACCTATAAAATATCGACATGTCTTGTCGTTTCGATATCGGAGACGCATTTGAAGCTGTGAAAAAAATCAGAAATTGAAAATGGAGAATAACAAAAAATGTCTTATTCAGGAACAACAGGAATTTGCTCGGGTATATAAATTGTTTCATTTCTAGACATTTCACAGTAAAGTCATTGCTAACGTGGGCAACCGTCTGGTTGCAGGGGTTGTAGGAAAGGGGAAGTAATACCGATGTCGTGTAAATGAACCCTTGCAACAAATATCTTAGGGGTCCAAACATGTAGGTGGTCTCTTGCTAGGCTAAATGTATGCCCAATCTATTATACCCAAATTATCCAATGGTATTATATTATATAATCCGGTTCAACCAAACTTCCAGAACGTTACTACTGTGTAAGTTGTTAATTTGTAACATGTCAATGTACCAACTCTGAGTCGATCTCTATTTGTTCTTTCTCCCAAATGTCACGTGCTTAGAAGACCATGTTTTTGTGAGAGGAATATCAACCTTTATTTCTTGACAAGCTCGACTCGTATTTTAAATGTTGCTTGCTCACATGGTTTACAAGGTTACATGAGACGGCCATTTCATGGTCATTCCTTATACCGTAAAATTAATACAAAATATGAGTTAGACAGAAATGTTCTTGAAAATAATTATTAAGATAAAAAAATAGTTTGTAAAATTCGAGTAAGTGACCATTTCTTGGTTACAGAGAAGGGTAGATATGAAAGAGTTCATTGAAAAAATATCATTTGTAAATATTGTAATATTTATGAGTTTGAAAATGAAAATCATTTTATCTTATCATTACAATTAATAAATCTTTACGACAACAGCTTGAAAAAGACGTAACTGATACTAGTATTCAATCAGGATTTATGTAATCATCCAAAATGATATATTGCAATTACTTCTTTCTCATTTATTATTATACAGCTTACTGTTCATTTAAAAGTCTTTTCCACTGAGGAGATTAGACACCACAACTGAATAGTCATTACTAGTTTTTTTTTTTTTATTATTGGTATATGATATTTTACCATTTTATAATATTTACATTATGTATATTGTTGTATTGTTTGCCTTCAACCCCTCGGGGTATAAGTGTGCATTACTTAACCATGTTAACAGATGAATTATTCTTAAACCGATCCTAGCTGTCTGTGCTCTTAATCTTTAATGGTGAGTAATAAGAAACAGCATAATGCTATGCTTTGTCTGGCAGGGAATCGACCCAATGACCTCCCGCACTCGTAACGAGCACGCTACAACTAGGCCTCCAAGGTAAATAAACTTGACTATCAGGTATTTGGCATCTTTTCTAATAGAGGGTTACGATCCTACCCAACTTAAATGCAAGAAGAGTTGGTCTGGTCGGAATCCTTGACTAGCGAAGATGGGTTTTCATAAAAAAGACTCACAATGATATTCCAAAGGCACTGTGAATCGATAAATGACTTTCACCATATAAACTCTTTAATTTTCTACAAAGTCATTCTCCAAACAATTTCATTGCGATACAAAAATCAGGTTTTCAATCTGCATTATTAATCAATAAAGTTAATACAATAAACACATATAGACGATTGATTGATTGTTCGTGTTTGACGCCATTTTAAGGACTTATGGCTATATCGTGACGACTAGTTTTTTATTAGTAGAGAGGGCCCGATTACCCGGAGATCCACCGACCTTCGGTAGGAAAACTGATAATCTTAGTCAATTAAGAAAGGAGTCGAACGCATCAGCCACGTGCGGGGTTCGAACTCACAACCTCAGTGCGGACAGGTTGTGATACATTAAATGAACTACTCAAACCAATCGGTCACCGAGGCCAAAACAATTATAGACAATACCATTTATTTCAAGATAATGAACTTATACACCAAAATTTATCTTTCTTGGGGTCCACAGGATGAGTCAAGTGTTCATAGAATATCAAACATAAGATTAATTAAAGTACATTATATACTCACATAAATACACACCCATGTTATCATAAACACCAAAGTCAACTTGTTAAAAATCGACGTTATACATCAGACAAATGTCAGAAGAGCGTTTGTGAAGGAATAAAAAAAGCTAAAAAAAATATTGATAGATTATTGAGCTCCTTTTCGAGATATTTAACTGTATTTTTAAATGGCAGGAAAAGACTGAATCGAAATGTTACCATATATTTAGCATTGGTATTATTTGGATCTCAAATCGAAAGAAAAGAAATCTAGAATCTTATAAGATATTACTAAAACGAAAAAATACATCAAACGAATGGAAAACACGTTATACTCCTGACTTGGTACAGGCATTTTCTAAAGTAGTAAATGGTGGATTAAACCTGGTTATAAAGCTAGCTAAACCTTTCACTTGTATGACAGTCGCAAAAAACGCCGCCACATCGACAACGATTGGAGAACAAAACAAACAGACACAGCAGGTAAAAATGGCAATCAATAACCTTTTATGAGCTGGTTAAGTCTAATATGAAAGAAGAAGTGGGTAATATGGAGCAAAATATTCACCCTATACCGTAGGAAAAAAATAAAATCACAAAAATACCAAAATTCAAAAGGGAAAGTCCCTTATCAGATGGCAAAATCAAAAGCTCAAACACATCAAACGAATGGATAACAACTGTCATATTTCTGACTTGCTACATGCATTTTATTATGTAGAAAATGGTGAATTAAACCTGGTTTTATAGTTAGCTTAACCTCTCACTTGTATGACAGTCGCATAAAAATTCATTATATTGACAACGATGTGTGTACAAAACAAACAGACATGATAGGTAAAAATGTCAAAAATACCATAAATAAGCATAGGAGTCCGAACATCTGACAAAAATTCTTAAATCTGACATGACTTCACCCTTAAGCACGTGCAGCGCCATAATATTTTTTTTCCATTTAAATCTGCTTACCTAGAAACGTGATGTGAGTGTTTGACAGAAATGGACAATCCTCTGCTCCGATATGCAGCTCTCCGTCTACTTGGACCCAATGTACCTTTAGGTGGACCACGGTGTTTGGGTCCCAGACTAATTTACCAGTATCTGTGATTACTATTGAGTATAATATTGGTGGTTGTTCGTCTAGTAATATTGGTTGTGTGATTATCAGGTTGTCATTTTCAGCTGGTGGCTACAATAATAGATAAATATATAGCATCAGTGGAGGTCTAGGTGGGTTTTCAATTTATTTTGGTCACACATTGTTGTCAATACAATGGAATTTCATGCAAATGTCATACAAGTGAGACATTTAGTTAGCTATAAAATCCAGTTTTAAGTCTCAATCTTCTACATTTGGAAAGGCTGTACCAAGTCAGTTACGTCTGATGCGTCTGATCTTTGATTTTGGCATTTGATAAGAGACAAATTGTACTCGATTGTGCATATATATTTTGTGGACTGACATGTTTAAACAATGGATTTTGAATAAAAGATACTTTGAGGAATATTTGTTGAATATGATCTTTTAAATTGGCATTAGCTACTAGAATACAAAACAATAGAATATGATTTTGATATTCAATCATTAATGTAAGTGTAATAGTGAAATAAAAATTCGCTTTTAGCAGCCAGTTTTGTTCAATTTTGTCAGAATAAGCAAAGAAACATCGCTGATGAACTTTTCAATTGCAAGTAAATAATTCGTCCTAATTGAATTCGTAATCATGTAACCTTCAATTTAACCATTAAGCTAGAGTTATTCAAAAGTGAAACAAGGGTAATCCATGTGATTGGCAGATTCGATCCACAAAAACTCCTTCTTATACATATAAAAAAAGAAGATTAACGTATATTTTTAACCTATATTATAAAATTAAACAGACCTTGAAAAATCAAATTGTACGAGTTCGCTATCTATTTATATCTATATTTATGTTAATATCGGGTTATAGAACCTTCGACAGTCTTCGGAGGTCACCTCGATAATTAATTAGATGGCGTCTAGATTAAATACATTGAAATGCTGACACATATTATCGAGCCCATTCATTGTTAATTGTTTATTTTAGACTTTTAATAATTTGGATATACGTTTTAGTATGTTATAAAATATCAGAATTTCAATCAAAACGGTGCACATAAAGTTGACAACCAACAATATTTTGACATGGCTATTACAATAACACGAACACACAATTAAAGAACACAAGTAGATGTGTTATTGAAATGGTAACTCAATTTGAGGAATAGAAAAAGAGATATAGAATTTTCTAATAGCTAACAGTCTAAAGGGTAAAACAAGATATAAATCGTTTGACTTTTAAATGTAAATAAAGATAGCAGTAGTATACCGCTTTGGAGTGTCGAATAATATCACATTTAGTGTTTTATTACACCACAAATTACGAAAAAATGAAATTATTTCATCATCAACTATTTATCTAAATGAAACAAATGATTAGATACCAGCGTTTTACTGTAATAATGTTGTCGTGTTTTGAAGTGTTATTTATAAACCTATTTTTGTATTCAAATCATACAATGTTTTTTTCATTTTATTTGTATTATACCAACATGACGAGTCAATGTTTTCCCACATGGTAGTTCATAAGATAAACAATCCGAAGAACATTATTCTAACTAAGAGCGGACTAGCCTAAGTTATTACTCCTTAATGTCGCGTGTGCTTACGGAGAAGCAGCAAATACCAGATTCAAGTCTTCGGTGCGACCAGAAAAAATTCCAAAATATGATTTGAATTGTTTCATTTTTGTTAACATTGGTTAATATTAATGTACTTAAGAATTTATCTTTATTCGTTTCAAAGTTAACGAAAATTATAAAGTAAAGTAATTATTAGTATATTTCATTTCTAAGTTGTTCTTTTTTATTTCTATGATTGTATGTGATTGTATTTTGTATGATTTTACCTCTTGTTTCATATGTCAATGTGACGGAGTGATTTTAAATAAAGCATATTGTATTGATTGTATTGTTAACGGAATAGTGAAATTATATTTCACTATAAGCACTCAGCTGTGGTTCAATTTTGTCAAAACAATCTCAAAAACACTCACAAGGAAGCTGTTAAACCTAGAGTTCCAAGTGGTTAAGGTCAAATCATCCCTTCATTAATTTTACGGACACAATCACGAGTTAGGTTGACCGTTGTGGAATATCCGCTTCACAGATGACAAAATTTGACCTACACGACGGGTGCCACATGTTGAGCAGGATCTGCTTATCTTTCTGAAGCACCTGAGATCCCCCAGTTTTTGGTGGTGCTCGTGTTCCTTAGTCTTTAGTTTTCTATCTCGTGTTGTGTATACTATTATTTGTTTGTTTGTTTTGGTTTTTTTTTAGCTTTGGTGTTGTCAGTTTATTTTCAATTTATGAGTTTAATTGTGTCTCTCGTCTCTGTCGCCTCTCTTTTAAGCTTGGCCTTTGTAATAGGTAGGTTTTAACATTGCAAATTGAGTTTACTAAGCGACACGTTGCAGAGCTATGTAAACGGATATTTACGATAGCAAAATCAAGTCTTACGAGATTCCAATTATTAGAATAGAATACATTTTTTTTCCATTCTTATGGCATATGTTAAAATAAATTCTCTTTTAGTGAATGTTTTGGCTTAAAAATGCTCTGGATGATAAAGTCCGCAAAACTGTTACATCGTTTTAATGTGACGCCAAACATGTCAAACATAAACAACAGACGTATTTACACTTTTCGTACGTTCTGGATGGTTTAAATATTGATAAAAAAGAAGAGTTTTAGTCACAAAATGTGACCTTTTGGTTTATTTCTTTAGAACACAAAAATATTTGGAATTCAAAGCAGTTGCTTTCCTTAGTTACGGACTGGTAGAACGTGGAATTTAATCTTTCAAATATTTGTCAGCGTCTAATAAAAAAATACAGATCTAAACGAATTGAATTAGAATTAAATTTGTTTTTTTCATCAGGTCGTATGACCGTTGGAACTCTTCGATCATCTCGTTTGTTAATTTGATGACGTCTATTCTATAACATACACAAAATGTTGATACATTGTAATGAGACTGTATTGGATTGTAAATTGTTTCTTTTTTGACATTTTGTTACTTGGACTAATTTTTACTTATTTCATTTTACACGAGGACACTTAATAGTTTTGAAAATAAGCAAATTGCCAAGTTCAGAATGTTTAAACTAGAATGTTTCGAGTGTTCCACGCTTACTGGCTATACTACTGTGCCCCACAACATACATTGTGTTTGTAAATTATAGGGAAAAGTTGGACAAATTAACTCTAAAAAATCATTTCACATTATCAGTAGGAACATTATCATTTTTTTTCTATATAGATATAAGAAGATGTGGTATGAGTACTAGTGCCAATGAGACAACTCTCCATCCAGGTCAAAATTTAAAAAAGTATCATTACTTAAACTAATTGTACTACAGCTTCGTGCTCGTATTTTTAGGTTATGACTGTCAATTCAGAATGTATTGCAATCATCCATTATTGAAAGAAGCTATTTTAAAGAATGGACAAAAATGTAAAATTTTCAGTAAAATGGTGCATACCAATCTTCCTGCAACAAGAGAGAGAGGAAGAGAGAGAGAGGGACAGACAGACAGACAGACAGACAGACAGACCGACAGACAGACAGACAGACAGAGCGAGAGATAGTTATCTTTATTCTCTAAAACCTAAATACAATTTTACAGAGAAATAACAATATCAATACAAATACAATAGGTTGAACGGATGCAGTATGATAATGTGAAATTAAAATTTACACCGCAAAAGTATTGCATTATAAAGACAACAATAGTGTATTTATAAGCCTTACTTTTATAGAGTCTATACACCATAATAGTCTATATACAAATATATATTTACAAAATTGACCGATTATGATCCATGTCAAATATAACCATAGAGAGAAAACAAATCTGAAGATAAAATGAAAAATGATAATAGTTTGCGTTTAATTATAAAATGCAAAAAAAATATTGCATTCTAAATCTTAGTAATATTTACCGAGCCACCCCATGTTCCAGTATGATCACTCCATTTCAGTAAATTTGTATCCGATTCCGGACAGCGCGCTTTACAAACAGCAATTAACACATTACAGAAAAAGAACCATAAAACTTCCATTATGAAAGTGATCTTTTGTTATGATGAATTCAGAATTCGGGCAACCTTTTATATAATATTTTGTCAAGAGGGTCTTCACGGGTTTAGCTTAAAGTTAATTCTCCTCAAACATGATAGTTGAAAAATATCACGTAAAAGTATAATTAAGCCTCATGTGTTTACAACAGAATGAATTAAATTAAAGTACACATTATATCACAGTTTTTTATTAAAGGAAAATGAAATTAATGAAAATTTAGTGCGAAATCCTGATTGATACCTAAAAGTGAATTGCATATGTATCACCGATGGCAATTAATGTATGCGTGTTTTCATAAATACAATGAATAATCGTTGATTCTTAAAAAAAAAACCCAAGAGCACAGAGGGCGAGTGATTTTTTTTAATGAATCAACGCTTATCCATTGTATCGCTAGCTTAAACTATTGTGTTGATGTCTTTTCAAATTTAAAGCCTTTTCTTATTTTAGAAGGTATCGTCAATGAGTTTACATAATCATGTTAGTATGTCCAACGCTGCAGTAATAAATCTAAGTTCACAATTTATTAGTTGGAGAAATAAAAAAATATAGCACGTCTAATTTAAATTATGAGGGATCTCAATATCATCCATAATTTACAAAATGAGACATATTCGAACTTATAAGTATATCTAATAAGTATGCCACCAAAAATACTACCCAGAAGCCTTATTCTAGGCACATCACGATTTACTTGCATAGTGATTAGCGAATAACATTTGTAAAGATATGAAGCTAAACAGATGAAAGTGTATATTTATAAAACAAAAATCAACAAATTGGGTGTAATAAATTTCTTTTCAAATATATGAAATAGCCAATAACATTACAAAAATAAACGGGTAAACCCATTGCTATTACAAAATATTCACAATAACATACAAAATAAGAAATAAACGGAAAAACTAGAAGATTATTGACATCAGAGAGAATACAGGGATTCGAACCTTAACCGACATTTTCTACCAATTTCTGTGGCTTAGCTTTACCTTTCCTCGTCAGTAGAATCTAGAGTTGTAACACAATACAAGAAAGCTGATTTTTCAGTTCAGTCTAGGTGGCAGAATGATCTAGAGCGCTGGACACAGTGCAGACGGTGTTATCACATTATCCTAATAGCATGAGTTGGAATACCGACAAGGGAAGACCAAAAATTTGCTTTCGCAAATTTGCAGATTTAACATTGTTGTGCTGATATTTAGAGCAGTTATGAATATAGAATGCGTATCAGTCATGTATCACCTTCACTGGTGATCCAATCGTAGAGTTGTCACTTGTTTAGACGTACTTAAATAATTATTTCTGTGACTGCATTGTACGATCCTCACAAATAATTAAGCTAATCTGCAATCATATGCCATGTACCGTGTTACAACACTAGATTCTACTGACGAGGAAAGGTTACACTAGACCACCGAAAGTTGAATTTGTAGTTATGTTTAGGTGGCCTAGTGGACTACAGCACTAGACACAATGAAGGCGATATAGTCTCGATATCCTAATAGTAAAAAGTTAAATAACAAAAACAAAAAAACTTTGAGGAAAATTCAAAACGGAAAGACGGTAATCAAATGGCAAAATCAAAAGCTCAAACACATCAAACGAATAGTAGTTGTTTCAACCCCGTCGATAACAATATATACAAACGACATTAGAATTGCAACCCATTGGTAACCGTGATGTTTCGTCAATGTGTTGATGCCAGTCACACATAACAGATTTCAAGGAGGGGTTCGATTCCCAGTGAAGGCATTTGAAAATTAAAATAATTAATGGTAATTTTTCTAATTGATTTCATTAGTGAACAGATTTCAGTAAATCATCAAATTTAAATTTGTGAAATTATATACAAAAAGGATATTATTGAATACAATTTGGTGAGTCCATTTAAGCGACAGATTAAATGAGCGTTGTTTCTAGATTATTAATCCCGAGTTAACGAATAGGCTTACGCCACGACAACGGTTTAAAGTTAAAATAACTATGTAACAATGATAAGATTGGTATGATTGCCAATAAGACAAATCTCTGAAAGAGACCACGAGACACAGACATTAAAAATAGTGGTCACCATACAATGAGTAAAAACCGTACAGCAAAGTCAGCTATAAAAGACCCCAAAATGGTAAAAGTAAAACAAACGAGAAATCTAACGACCTGATTTGTGTACAAAATAATGAACGAAACAAACATCTGATATAAAACAACACACGACAATCACTTAATTACAGTCTTCTGGCATGAGACAGGCACATGCAGTATGTGACGAGGTTTAACTCATTTGAAGGCATGGGACAGTAGTATAACAATACAACATAACATCAAACTATTTTTAAATCAATAGTCATTTTGTTTTATCTTTTTAAAAAAACATTCTGCTTGTCGATTCTTGGCGCTTTTTGTTGGTAGTTAATGAAATCTCTCTTTATATAAAAAAAAATACTTATTCGAGGGACCTTATGACCTTATTTGTCCTTCCTTTTTCGAGTAACAAATTCTATTTTCATAAGTGGCATACCAATGACCATTTTAATTGCTGGAAATTGCCTCTTCCGTGGAGGAACCACCAGCAGAGCAGTCAGTGTTCATATGAACACGAAATATAACTCACAGGAATCACTAAATAGTAAAATCATTCAATTATTTTATCGAAGAAAGGTTAATATGGCCTAAACCATATTTTAGACATTTTTGGGGTATTATTCGATTTTTGGTGCCTTTCAACGTCGTTTTCGATTTGGCCTTCCAACTGTTTGTAATAAAGAGTCATTGATGAATCTTTTGTAGCTGAAACGCATGTATGTTGTATAAAACCAATAGTTTGCAATATGTGTTTGATGAGTTTAACAATTAAAATACAGTGATACCTGTTTTAACAGAAAACCCGGCTAGGTTAACATATTCTTGAGCTAAGTCATGTTAGAGTGTATGCATTGAGAACATGATGAACCGAATATTACCCAAAAAATCGAGAGAAAAAATCTTCTGTCAGAAGAGGTTGCGATAAGACAGGTTTCACTCTAAAATGATATTTATTTTGTTACACGTCATTTAGACTCTGATGGATATTGTTTTAATTGGTAAGAAAATCACATATTCATAACACGTGGAGCAGGATCTGGTTACTTCTCAACTTACCAAAATTCGAGCACCTGAGGTCATCCCTAGTTTTTGGTAGGTGTCGTGTTGCTCTGTCTTTAGTTTTTAGTAAATTTAAAAATAAGGAGATATTGTATGATTTCCAATTAGACAACTATCCACAAAAAATCAAATGAAGTTGATGTTAGCAATTATAAGCTACCGCATTGTGGGCTTTCAATGACTCCATCAAAGTTGAAATGAAGTGGATGTAAGCAAGTATAGCAACCGTACGGCATTTAACGATGAGAAACACCTATATCGTATGGTCGCCTATAAAAAGTTCTGACATGAAAAATATGAAGCATTTAAATTAAGAAAACTAACGGTTAATTTATAACAAAACAATTTACGAAAGAAATATGACAGACATCCACTAACGACAACCATTGACCTGGGACAGGCAGATACAGAATTGCGGGGTTAACCATGTTTGTGGGCGCTCCCTCTAACCTGCGACAGTGTTGTAACATTATAACTAAAGAACAAACTGTCGGTTGAATTCAGTTGAAAAAGGCTTAACCCCCTTAGATTGGTACAAATAGAAATACATCTAACAAAAACACAGAGTGGACGGGTACATCATGTATGTCCATACTAAATTATGTCTATTTATCGTTTGTTTTCTTTTCCAGTCGTGGCATTATTTGTTTGTTAGCGACTTATGAGTTTGAACATCATTTGGTATCTTTCGACTCCATTCTCATTCATGTTATTATGTTATCAATAAAATTGATATGTATTCACAAATATTACCAGAACAATTTAGTATGTACAGCCTGAAGTCAATCTTTAAATATATCACCGACTTTCATAACATCTCAATCATTTATAATAGATTATCGGAAATACTTCAGTATAGAGTGTCATATAATTCATATATAATAGATATAAGAAGATGTGGTAATGAGACAACTCTCCATCCAACATGTCCAAGTCACAATTTGTAAAAGTAAACTATTATAGGTCTCTTTTCTGTCTTCAACACGGAGCCTTGGCTCACACCGTACAGCAAACTATAAAGGGCTCCAAAAATGACTAGTGTAAAACCATTTAAACAGGGAAACCAACGGTATAATCTATATAAAAAAAACAGAAACTCTTATGAATCACATCAACAAACGACAACCACTGAACATCAGGTTCCTGACTTAGGACAGGTGCAAAAAAAATGCAGCAGGTTTAAACGTTTTAATAGTACCAACCTTCACTCTTCCCTGAAACAATAGTGTAACATTGCAACATAGAAAGTCTACTACTAGGGAATGTTTAACGACCTTGACTATCCAAGAGGGTCTCGAATGTTCGGTTGATATTTAAGTCAACAGAAAAAGGCGTATATAAATCACACACTTTATTATTGATACAACGAAACAGATTTGGTTCGTACGATTTTTTGCATTTGAAATTTGGATTATGAGACACTGTGTATTCTATTATCCTCTAGTTGAGCCTGCTCCCCAGTTCTGAAAAGAAATACAAAACGTTTTAATAAAAATTACATCTAAAAATCTGACTCACATGAAAGTATGTTGTCTCGTGTCAATTGAATACAATAAGTAGAATACTAGTTCATTACAGCTTTATGCATATGCAAAAATAATATAAAAAGAAGCCAAGTTGTTGAAGGCCGTACGATGACCTATACTTGTTAACCTTTAATGTCATTTGGTCTTTGTTGGAGGGTTGTCTCTTTGACAATCTTATAACATGTTTTTATTTTCATATCATGAAAGATCTGACAGTAAAACGAAAGTAGATTTAATAAATAACTTCTCGTGCTAAATGCTAAGCTAGCTACACTTTATGCAAAGCAATCTAAGTTGAATTCTCGTAGAACCGTAGTAGTGTGCGTTAAATTAACAGCAATGAAATATTATTTACAGTGAAACTTGTCTGAAATAAACCTCTTCGGGACTTAAGATTTCTTTCGGTTTGGCAGATGTCCGATTTTATCAGGTTTTTAACGCATACCATTTGATATGACTGGATTTTATAACATCTTTGATTTAGCCATGTTTTTGATTTATGCAAGATTCGGTTTAGACAGGTTTCACTGTATTGTTAAGGTATCATGACACAGCTGGGATAGATACATAAATACATTTTAATATTGATTTTATCATTTCATGGAGTGTGGTTTGGCATTTCTCCCAATCTTAAAAACATAGCTTCTCGAATGATTTTCATATATAAAATTAAACTGTCTCGAGACTGGAGACATATCATATTACACGAGATGCTGGTGGTGCATTATGTTTCTGTTACAACTTTTAGATGATATATAATTTGTAAAGGATCTAAAAAAAAACGGTGGTCTTTCTCAAAAAAGCGAATTCAGAAATATTGACGATATGAATTGAAATTTTAACCATTTTAAATTGGAGGACTATTTCTTAAAAAGAATTTTTTACCGCAGGTGGTTCATTAGCAGTAGCAGGAAGTTCTCTGGTATCAATCACTCCAGCAGTGTCAACGGCTCGTTTTTGTCTGCTTCCGTGATTAAGTCTTTTACTAAGTAGTTCAAGTAATGTTGTAAGTCTCCTTCGAGATTCGGACTGAAAGAAGTAAAATATAATAGGATTCATAATTTATTTATCAATCATTGCAGATGTTGGACATTCATCCGCACGGATATACCCGAGAACAATATTAATAGTTCTGTTCAATTAACATTATGCTGATATACCTTATACACACAGACACAAATGTGCAAGTCATTGCTCGACAGAAAGACCATAAATTTAAATCTACAGTACTAATATTGAATAAAGTCAATTAACACAATTTTTTTCTTATTTTTCATATTCCTATTCATAAATGCGAGTGAGAAAAAATAATTTGTTATAAAAGTGTTATACAAAGTTTTCCATTATCAATGTTATCTAATGTAACATCCCTTTATTACAGCGTAAACTTTACAGACTGAACTTTGCTTCATTTTTGTTGAAAGTTAAACTAACTATGCGATAACGCATTATTTTGATAAATTGATTCTGCCGTTAAACTTTCACAAAATATTTCAGATGTAGCATTGTACAATTAAACCAAATTTGGCCAAACATCGATATGACCATTTTCAAATTTAAATGAATAAAATGTTATAACAAACTACACTATCCGGTATTGTAATCAGGGTAAATAATTACCTTACATTGGACATTGTTTTATGTATTGATGCACATTCTATTGAAAATTGGTATCGTCCGGCTGCTTTTTTATATCCATATAAAAGCATGGTATAAATTCCACTGAACAATCAATCAATCATATAAAAATGCCTGTACCAAATCATGAATATGACAGTTGTTGTCCATTCGTTTGATGTGTTTGAGATTTTGCCATTTGATAATGGACTTTCTGATTTGAATTTTTCTTGGAGTCGGTATTTTTGTTTCTCAAAGTGATGATTTACAGTCACCCTATTTCATAACCCTAAACTTTGCAGAATAAACTTACCGAACTAGAAGAAAGGTTAAATTTTTCATGAGCAGCACTTAAACAGTCAGTCTGAGTTAAATCGCCATTTTCAATTTTTATCATCACTCTTCTACACATTTCACCCTCTCCAACACATTCACCTACTTCTCCTGGTTCAAAATCTCTCGAATCAGACAGGAATACAGCAAGGTACCTACGTATTTAGAGAACACGGTTTTAATACAGAAACAAATTTAAAAAGGTGTGCAAAAAGACAGGTACGAATCGTAACATTTTATTACTACATACTATTGTGTGATGACAGTAATTTTTTATGAATTTGGTGAGTCCAATGCGCTTTCGAGGTTTACTTTTAGCATAGAGGACCTAAAAGGAAATAGTCTAATTCACAAGAGGTCAAATTGTCTGTGGTACTGTGAAGTAGTTATGTAAGAAATCATGTCATGGACTGGCAATCAACCAGCAGTAAATTTTCTATTCTTTAAAAGTGTAACTACAGTCCATGTCCATGCCCTTAGAGGTATAAAACCACTAATTGGGGTCGGTCAGAAAAAACACATACAAGAAAGTAGGATATATTTTAAACAAAATAGTTCCTACGCAGAGCTGTAACTTTATCAATAAGTAAAATATTCAGGTAATTTTGGTATGAAATGGAAGCATAGGCACTTGAGATCACTGTTGAATTATTAAACTTTTTTTTGCATATTAAAAAAATATATTAAATTATCTTGGAGGGCACACCAGTTCTAAAGTACATATATATCTACTATCAAACTTCCAGGAACCAGTGCGCTCTAATATGCAATTAAAGGTTTGTTTAATTTTTCAGCACCAATCGGGATAAGGTATAGTTTCGACATGAAATGACTGCCACTTTATTTGAATTGAAGACAAAATAGCCAATAATGCTTGATATTGAAGAATTTTACATAGCTAGCAATGGAGCTATGAATAAGTGGTTTTATTCTAGAGGGATTTACTTGCTGTGTTATGCTTATAAAAATATAAAGGATAAGTGTTGGCTATTAAGATATCATGAACAAATGATTTGTCATTTCAGACTATAGAATAATGAAACAACAATAGCAACACAAACCCAGTATCGGAATCGTAAAAGTAGTCTCCGATCGCATCAACATCGCTTAATGAATCTACGGCTGCCCATTTCACCATTCCTCCAAACACTCTAAAAGTAGCATCGAATGGGATACACACTCCTAATCGTACACCTTGTGATCTGGAAGAAGAGACAAATCATGTGAAAAGACATCTTTTGTATGAAGATTGATCCAGAAATGAAATCAAAATGTCATTTAGCAAACAGCTAACGTAAGGTGTAGACTTCTGTCCATTGTTGAAAAATATCCTATAGATGTTGTATTGTTACGTTTGTCATTGGTGAGCCATCTTATTGATGTATTCACGACAAATTCTTTTGTTCTTATCAAGAATATTTTCGAAGGACACTGTTGAGTGAATCGTCAAAATGAAAATTCTACATCCTTGCAATTTGAGAAATCCTACTGAGATAGGCATAACGGGTTTGTGCTAACATGAATAACACGACGGGTGCAATATGGGGAACAGGATCTGCTTACCCTTCCGGAGCACCTGGGATCACCCCCAGTTTGTGGTGGGGCTCGTTTTGCTCAGTCTTTCGTTTTTTCTGTTGTGTTTTGTGTACTTTTGCTTGTCTTTTTCTTTTTTTTAGCCATGGCGGTATCAGTTTATTTTCGACTTATGAGTTTGAATGTCACTTTGGTATATTTCGCCTAACATTTTTCATATGTAAAAACAAATAAAAAAGTACAGAATATTTCTGTGTACAAGTTTGATGAAATCACATTTTCATCAATAGTTTTCTATGTTGTGATGTGTACTTTTGTTAGTGTGTTTGTATTTTTCTTTTTATCCATGACTTTTTTATATTTGGTTTAATTACGCAATACATAAGGTATTAGACTAGTAAACTTCTCCGACTCTTGTATGATAGATCAACTTATTAAAACGTCAATAGACAACGACACAAATAGCTAAAAGACATTACATTTGGGGCTCTTTATATCTTGCTGTTCGGTGTAAGCCAAGGATCCGTGTTGACGACCGTACTTTGACCTATATTGTTTTGTTTTTTTTACAAATTTTGCCTTGGATGGAGAGTTGTATCATTGGCACTCGTACCACTACTTCTTATAAATAATTTTTATGTAGGGAAACTTGCTTTGACAATAACCAAAAGACATTACTATATTATGTAGAAAAACTTGTTTTGATCATAACCAAAAGACATAACAATTTTATGTAGGAAAACTTGCTTTGACAATAACCAAAAGACATTAGTATATTATGTAGGAAAACTATCTTTGTCAATCCGATCATTTTATATGAAAAAATTAAAGGACTTATTTCAATTCATTGATTGATAATTGTTTACATAACGTCCAGTGTTGACTAACTTTGCCATTCCAATAATTTCATTTAGAAGCTATTTTGATAATCCGATCCTTTTTATAAAATTTACTTAAACAATCCGACCATTCTAATGTTAATTTTTTTCGAAACGTTCTTTGAGAATCTGCTCCATATTAATTTCTTTCAACTAACTTTGACACTCCGACCATTAGAATACCGAATTCTTTCGGAACTTCCTCTTCAAAATACATAGAATAACTGTAACTTTCTCCTGTAATGACTAGAAAGCTGGCATCACCTGGTGAATCAGCATCCACTCGGGCGGTCTCGTAATCATCGTCCCTTGTCATCGTTAAAACGTTATCTGAGGGGTACTTTATAGCTAACTGTAAAAAAATAACTTGTTTTTATTAAGACATACAATTTGGAAAGCTTTTCGCCATAATAAAATCAAAATAATTCTGGGTAATATATGTAAAAGAGGAAATCGTTCTTGCATAATGGGTAATATATTCAAAAAAGAAAATAGTCCCTTGCACTTTTTACGTTATATGAAAAGGATCCTATATTTAGCTATTGTTACCAGTTACTTGTTTCTCTTCGGAAAATTAGTTTTTCGATTTGCTATTTCATAATCGGAAATAACTTAAGTAAACTTCTTCGATTGATTTTCAAAGTCCGAGAGCATAATAAATAGACCAACATATTCAAGTGTATAATCGGAAATAACTTAAGTAAACTTCTTCGATTGATTTTCAAAGTCCGAGAGCATAATAAATAGACCAACATATTCAAGTGTGTTTTTTTTTTTTTTGCGGGATTTTCTTGACAAATATTTCATCATTGCTGTTTCTCGTACTCTTTCTTCGCTTCATATTTCGTAGTGTGTTCCTGTGTTGTGACCACTGTCCAAGGTTAGGAGGTTATGCGTTTTCAAGTATGTTAAACCCCACTTATCGGTCTCTGGTGGAAATTTGTATCATTGGGACCCATACCACATCTTATTTTTATATATGCATATGCTTGTTCCATTTATTTTAATTTAATGGAATTGTTTATGATATCTCGATATAGGCTTTCGCAATCAATTCCATCTTCATGCCTAATATATCATGTACTGTGTTACAACTCTAGATTCTAATGACGAGGAAAAGTAACACGAGCCCACCGAAAGCTGAATTATATAGCTAAGTCTAGGTGGCCGTGTAGTCTAGACTCTAGGTGGTCGAGTGGTCTAGCGCGTCTGGCACAATACAACGCGATTTGGTGCCACGATATCTCAGTAGCATGAGTTCGAATCCCGGCCAGGGAAGAACAAAAATATTTGCTAACGCAAATGTACCAGATCTAACATTGTTGGCCTGTTATTTAGACGAATATATTTATATATATATATATTCTACCGTTTGTTTTGTATTATTTTTGCTGTTAATGCTCTTCTACTTTGTATGTGCCTTAGCACTACTTTTTGTTTTATTGAAGCACCTTTGATGAGTCTGGTGAGTCTGCAGTATCAAATTTTAAGCCTCATATCTTTATTGAGATTTTTCATAATTGTTACTTTTTTTAGTTTTGAATCATGCTAAAATTATGAAAAAAAGATAACAACTTACTTTACCGTAAGCATGTTCGCAGTATCCAAAGTTCCAATTTGACCTAATATTACATTCGTCTGTCATGTGGAAGGCTTCAGGACTTAGAACTGTAACGAGTGAGTCATCTGATACATCAAGGTCAATCATAGAGTTATCCATATCTCTGAATGTTCGGATATCGTCACCAGTTCGTTGCGTTTCATCCAGAAGAATGCCTTTGACTCTGTTTCCTTCGCTAGGCTGTGGTTAAAAAATATAAATGTGTACAGAATAACAATCATATGCCGACTGCCGGACATACATGTGTACCTAAAGGGTAGCTAGAAGTGAACCAAATAACAATATTATACTAAATTCCGTAAAAAGAACTGTAAATATATTGTATAAAAAGACATGTCATGCCTTGTAATCATAAGTTTCCTTTGATTGGCTGTGGTAGGAAAAAACATGGGTATCTAAAGTAGAATAGAAGTGTATCAAAAACAATAATATACCGAGTTCGGTAAAAATATCTGTAAATATATGATATGAAAAGACATGACAGTCATTGAGTGCAAAATCCCTGTAAAAGATTCTTTCGAATTCTTTTCTCTTATCCTTGCAGAACTAAAAAAAATCCTTTCATGAGTTTTTTACATTTATTATTGATATTTCAAAAAAAATATCTTAATAGTTTTTAAAAGAAAAAATGTGCCGATGTTAAATGTATAAAACATTTTAAAAAATGATTTCATGCAAATATTTTAATGACTAATAATTTAATTTTGGATGTAACGCGTCTTCTGATTGGCTGACGTTGTTTTGTTTATCAGCTCATAGACATATTTTTTTCATGTGACCGTGACGTCATCAACGTTTTTTCATGGTTTACTCCGGTTTAAAATGGAATTTAGAATTAAATTATAAGAAATGAGTGTGATATTTTTTCTGTCTATTCGAAATAACATAACAAATGTGGTGCACACTTTAAAATAACCCGCTACGCGGGTTATTCAGTGTGCACCAGATTTTTTATGTTATTTCTTCATAGACAGAAAATATATTACAGTCATTCCTTAAATATATAAAAAAAAAAACAAGGACAAGGACCTTTTTTTCTGTTTTTATGTACTTTATTCAAATTCTATAAATTTAAAATATTCTTATAAAAATGTGTTTTTTTTAAAAAGCATGGATATCCATATCTTATTCAATACCAAAAGCCAGCATAGATTATCGATGCGATGAGTGAGTTGTAGGTAAATAATCATTTGGTCCAGTTAAAAAAAAGTAAAAATATAGTACGTCTGATGCTGTTACAACTGAGCTATAGACCCCATTAGCATGGTACTGTCCATTGGTTTACAGGGAGCTGGTATACTTTTTCGATAATTTTGATGTATTTTGTCCAAAATGTAGTACACTACATTGATTGTTGGTGGTTATCGCCTATTTTCACATGTGACACAAATAAGTGTGTGAAGCTAGATCTGCTTACCCTCGCGGAGCCCTTGAGCACCTAAGATCTCCCCCAGTTTCGGAGGCGTTCGTGTTGCTGAGTCTTTAGCTTTCTCTATGCTATTGTGTGTACTGTTTGTCTTTTTGTCTATTTTTTGTTTTTTTGCCATAGATTTGTCAGTTTGTGTTTGACGTCATCCCTTTGGTATCTTTCGTCTCTATTTTGTGCTATTCGAGGGCAGTTAAACTTGCAATACTTTTTGACTAGAACTGAAGTCTAAAACATCTTGACAGGTGCTGAGTTCAAACTGACAGGCTCAATATTGACATGAGTTTATCACTGTTACTGAACTAAAAAGACCACTCAACCACCGAGGACCTTTTTTAATCAATAAACTTACATCAGAAAAACCAAATTGTGCATTAGTAATACTATGAAAAGGGGATTGTCCTTGCATTTTATCCCAACTAATGGCTCCCATTTGGTAATATTCGTTATCAGCAAAACCATCTAAGAAAACATCTGTCACATAAATAGGCCCTCTTCTCAGTGCGATTCCTTTTCTAGGATTGAAACTTTCCATCCTTAAAATTAAATAAAATATATCAACCTGTTTATGTTATTAATATATCAAAATAGTCAATTTTCGTCTACCGTTAATTCAATTTCTTGAACTGGAATTTTCTATCTTTACAAAATCGATTAGGAACACTAATTTCTATTTCAAAGTAAGTTATTTTCTAAACATGTCTACCGTTGATTCTATTTCTTGAATTGAAACTGTCTAACTTTTAACATTTAATCAAGAATATCAATGTCTATATTTTTGTATTAGCTATTATGCAGTTTTTCCTCCAACAGCCTAGTTTGCATCACATATGTAACAGAATTGTATGAAAGTCAAATATGTCGTATGGTCGTACATAATAAACCTTGGTTATATCATTTTTTTATTCAATAAGGATTTCAGTTTATTACATCGGCTAATATAAACATGTTATCTTGACCACTCGTTCTCAAACGTCATAGATATTAGAGGTGTAGCTAACTATAGAACCATGTTTAATCCACCATTTTCTTCGAAAATGCCTGTACAGAGCCAGGAATATGTTAGCTGTTTTCCGTTCGTTCTGTTGATTGATAAAGTCTAATGTTTGATTTTGTAAGTTTTACGAAATCCTAATTTTGAATTTACCTTGGAATTCCGTATTTTGGTTTTCATTCAGCCGTTCCCTTTGTTCGTGAAGAGTCAACCTCATTTCAAAAATATATATATTTTCAGTGCCTCGATACTGAACACGAAAAATCATTATACGACAATTGAAGAGCTTATGAAAGCAAAACTGACTCAAAGTATACCTCCGGACAAGGAATCAGAGAAAAAAAATAATTTAAAATAGTATAACATCAAAGGTCAATTAAGTAATAAATCCTATCAGTGTTCGTATGGCTTTTCTTTACTTACATATTTGCAGAAATCAACGGGAAAGATCTTCCAGTTGATATGGGTTGGCCGTTAACTGTTGCTGGCTCTCCTAAATTAGGAGAATCTCCGATAAATACACTCTGGTCAATGAACTGCAGTGCAGAGTTCTCTCTACAAATATCATATATAGATAAAGGCAACAGTAGTATACCGCTGTTCAAAAGTCATATATAGAATCACACGATGTATCATACCATTAATAATCCACTTCAGATTAGATTAAGTAAAACAAAAGTACAGGCAAAGTTAGTATCGAATAAATGTTTGGTTCAAATTCGTTTTAACTGAAACCTTTCACAGTAATTACATGTATAGTAATAAAAGTACAGAATAGTAATCCCAGTTATGAATTGAGGCAATTAACATTGATCTATCAATTTTTTCTGCACCAGATGCGCATTTTGACAATACATATCTCATCAGAGATGCTCCAAGCCAAACTATGAAATCCCAAACGTATTAAAGAAAAGAAGAGCTTATAATCTAAGGACAGAAACGATAGCATAAGCCGGGCAAGGAATCACAGCTTTGCATGAGAGAAATATATTCGTTGATATTCCTTTTGAACGAAACAAAGATTATGTACACAGGTGCGATACTGTGTGTACATTCAAGTGTGTGCTTTATGCGTGTGCGTTCATACGTGTGCTTAAAACTTACTTTACTATATTAAGTAATTCAGCGCTGTCTGATAACCTGTTAAAATGAAGAATCAATTATATATTTAGTTTACTAATCCTCATCATAGTACGCCAAAAAAGGTCGTTGTAATGTGATTTGGTAGAAATAAAACGTGATAAAAAGAGAAAACTGGTAGAGAAATAAAAGTTGAAAATGGAAGAAAAATGAATAATTATAGACTTTAAATATTTGTGGCAGTTCTAGCTAATTGCAGAACGAGGACAACTTATATCCCATTCGTTTGAATATACCTGCCTTTAAATGTATTTGATAGTATTACATTAGAACATGTAGAACTAATTATCTGTTTAATTTTACAAAGTAGAAGTATACAATGTTGTATCAATCTACCGTTTCATCAATAAATGCTTAGGTTTTTCGCCATTTTTGGGCACTTATTTTAAATTTTACTTCCAACAATTATGAATAAAACACCACATGAAATATATGGAGCCGATACTATGTGTCTTTGTCTTACATGGAACATGTTGTATTAGATCTTGAGATTCCGGAATAGTTGTCTGATTTGTTTCATATTTTTTCTATTCACAATTGTGACACGTATACAAATTGTATACGCACGGCCAGTCGTGATTCATGCATACACTCTTCCAGCCTTGCGACCTGTCTGCCTCATTTCGGCGGTGACTCTCTCGGGTTTTTTTTCATCGTAATTTCTAGTAAAGTTTCGATATTTGAGCATCAGTAAAGTATTGTTGAATCTTGTCTTCAAATGCTTTCTCTCCATTCTTAAACGTAAACAAATAAGTTGCGAACAAAATTACTTGACGTCTTTTTTTTTATTCGATCTTAAAGAAAAGTTTACGCAATGAAGAAGAGTATCACAAAAATGAAACAAATATCATAGCGTGTTAATACGATTGCATTATATGACAGCGATGACAAATATCATATTACTTCCGGTATAACTTGTAACACGAAACGGAGAGCAAAATTAACGATTGATATTTTCAGATAACTGCATCCCCGATATATGTGAATTTTTCCATGTATGAAGTATCTTAGAATATTTATATTTGAAAAAGAGTGGCGAAAGATACAAAAAAGACATTCAAACTCAGATTTTGAATAATAACTTACGATGCATGGACTATTTTGAACATTCCTCCTCTAATCCATGCGTTTCTAGGGCTGTTTTTGTAGGCTAAAATGGATGTAAAATCAAATCATGTATTGTTTTTTTTTTGTACTATATGATCTTATAAACTGACTCATAAGCTTAAGTAATATCAAGACTCAAAATGTGTACTCCAGTTGCGTTATGTCTATACGAGATTCATCAGTGTCACTAGAATAAACAAAATTGTTTTAAAAGCCAAATGAAATATTAAGGTGAAGAGCATTGAGAACCCAAAAGTCCAAAAGGATAGGGGATGCGATAAATACGTCAAAGCGCCAAAAACATCTTTACAAACTAGAAATCAATTTAGTCTGCAATACTGGACTCAATAAGTTAAAAATATTGAGACAAGTTATACTAATTTTCTTTTACAAACATGTATACGGTATTTTGGTTTACTAAATTTGCAATATTGTTTAACCCCGCTGCATTTTTGCGCCTGTCCCAAGTCAGGAGCCTCTAGCCTTTGTTCGTCTTGTATCATTTTTAATTTTAGTTTCTTGTGTATAATTTGGAGTTTAGTATGACGTCCATTATCACTGAACTAGTATACATATTTGTTTAGGGGCCAGCTGAAGGACGCCTCCGGGTGCGGGAGTTTCTCGCTGCATTGAAGACCCATTGGTGGCCTTCGGCTGTTGTCTGCTCTATGGTCGGGTTGTTGTCTCTTTGACAAATTCCCCATTTCCATTCTCAATTTTATTTAATTTCTTTTTTGTATTATAAATCATTATTAGTTCTCTGATTCTTAAGGAGACAATCAGTTGTTCTTTTATTATGTTTCAGAAAATTCAGGAAAATCAAATATTCAGCAAAACTTTTCTAACCGAAAATAAATCATGTTTCCTAATATTTGTTTTGAAACCTACACAACAAATTAAAGTACTTAAAAATATAACATGTTAAGGGGACTATTCACTCGAGAGACTCATGTATCATATTTTCCTCGTACTATTAGGTTATTTAACTATTTGAAACACAAAATTATATTTTTTATTATTTTACCTGTCATTCTGTTTATTATGGATGGTTTATCAGTAGAATTCTTATATTTCAGGTGCATTATGGGATCTTCCTTAGGTCTGTATCTGTTGTATCCAGAGGCACTTCCATCAGGTTGAAATTCGTTATCAATGAAAAAGCCATGCTGAAATTAATGTAGCAACAACAAATTAACATATTACAGTATATGCAGTAGATTTAAATGGCAAACAAGTGAGAGATCTAACAAGTTTTTAAACAAGGTTTAATTCATCATTTTCTACATAAGCAAATGCCTGTACAGTCAGGAGTATGACAGTTGTTTTCCATTCATTTGATGTGTTTGAGCTTTCGATTTAACCATTTGATAAATCACTTTCTATTTTTAATTTTCCTTGAATTTTTACTTTAAAATTTTGTTTTGAAAATTTGTACTAAAAAGATCTTCCATCCCTACCTGTTTATTTGAATGGGCAACATTGTTGTCGAATTCAGAAATAACTGTGTGTCTTGCTTCATCTTTTAACATGTATCCTTTATCAGCAGAAGGTCCTAATGGAATTCGTGGATATGTATACCAATATCCTCGTCCCTAAACAAAAATAAACATTTGTTAATATAATGGCTCATGATGGGATGGATGGATGGATGGATGGATCGGTGGATGGCTGTTTCCCGTTCAGCGGCAGATGTAGATGAACTATTGTCGTACCGTCTATACATTTCTAGGAATATGAATGGCTAAAAGCGACCGCATGGAGACCGTGTACATTTCAAATGGGAATAGCAGGTGTGGTTTATCTTAATACTCAATTACTAGTGGTGTTACGTCCCTTTAGAAAAATAAACAGCGTTGAAGATAAATCTGAAACGTTTCGCCCGAACAACAGATAAAAATATTGACGATGAATTGAAATCAAAGTAACTTAATAACCATATGCTTGAAAATGATAAATTGTAATTGTAAATTTGAAGTTCTTTTTATTTGTGCGAATGCTAAAACTTGAAAAAAATGTTTGATATTGAATGCTGAAAAAGAATATTGAATTTTGAAAAACGTGAATGTTAAAAACATATGTGGAAAAAAATTGAAAAAATGTTAAAGAAAATTTTTGTTTTAAATGTTGAATGTTGAATGTTGAATGTTGAATGTTAAATGTTGAATGTTGAATGTTGAATACTGAACCAACTTGACATCCGAGAATGTGAGTTGGGATTTAACTTGTTCCGTGATAATTAAGTAAACACTTACATCTCCCCCTGCTGCTACGTTGTTTGTGACGTAACTAAGAGGATTTGTAATCCAGAAGGTAGTTGGTGATCTGTAAAAAAAGGGAAATGACAGTTAAACCTTTTGCTGAATTTCTTCTTTAATTTGGTATGGAAAGTGATTGGTTGATTGATTGTTGGCGGTGTGTTTAACACCGCTTTTCGAATTGTTGACAATTTCAATCAAATGTCTACTAAAAGATAAGTATACTTTATTTTTTTTAATTACATGTATTAGTGATTATAAAATAACGGTCTTTTAATTCAAATACTTTTATTGATAAGACTCACAGTTCCTTCCAAATTTTACGTAGTGGATTCAAATTGGACTTATTCGTTTTTACGTTAATCTCATTTTTAATTTAGTTTATCTTAAAAGCGTTTAGTTTTGTGTGTGTATACATGATGTAACATCAGAGCTGAAAAATGCTTTTCTCTGCAACATGTAAAGGTTTCAGTGTGACTGTTTTATTATTTCATTTTGAAATATTTGACAATAGTTGAAATAATAAATTTGACAAATTAAGCTGTACTGATTTTTATTTACTTTTCAAGAGCTAATACTGTTCCTTAAACATATCTCAAAAAGAACTTGCAATTCTGGAATATTTAAGATATATACATGTCAGCTTTAATAAGTGTTCCTTTTTCCTGACCGAGTCCTAAGTTTCCATTTAATACCGTTCTCTTTTCGCCACCATCTTCCAAGAAATAACCATGACCTTTTGTCATGTAACATACATTATCTTCAACCTAAATATACAAAAACAAATGGTCAATGATTATTGATAAACGAAATATATTTTTTAGAATACAGGTACACAGCAATTTTCTATACCGAACCTTTCCACAAATGAGAAAAGGAATGTATAATTCTAACTTCTTCTGTATATGTTATTCACTAACTATATCCTAAAGAACTTATAGTTTTTAAGGAAACATTTTTAAATAAATCAAAGTTAACCTTAGATTGGTTTGGCTACCTTTAGGTCTTTTTAGTCATATAGCTTTTCAACTGTATCGGTTCTTTCACATTCTTGGCTTTCAAATATTTGGCTTTGATCGTCCCTGATCAATGTAAATCAAGAAAAGTGCTTCAGATGCATGAAATATTTAAAGTGTTTTCATTTTTTTTTCAGAACAAACTTGTTAATACAATAGACGGTGCTATATTTCTTGTTATTGTTTTGCCTCGAAAGGGAGTTAAATCCACACAGGTTTCCGGTTAATATGAATGATTCGTCATTGTTTGTGCTTCCGATCCATATCCATAACTTCGCAATATTAAAGCAAATACATAGTAAAAGAGGGGCGAAAGATACCAGAGGGACAATCAAACTCATAGTTCGAAAATAAACTGATAAAGCCATGGCTAAAAATGAAAAAGACAAACAGACAAATAATAGTACACCAAAAACTGGGAGTGATCTCAGGTGCTCCGGAAGGGTAGGTAGTAATTTATGTGTCACTTATACAGTTTGAACTGTTATCGCTCCCTATTTATTACAGTGAAAGGGGAGAACATAAGAAATCAAGATATCTAACATAACCCATAGCCGTACGTGCAATCAGATCACGTGTCCCGTGTATAGTAACACATATGTTGTAGGAATGTTGGATAGAATTGTGTTTGATCCATGGCCTTGTAACTTTATGCTCATACTTGCAATATGACCATGTGTTCCGTGTTCAGTTACACATCTGCATTAAGAATTTTTGATAGAATTTTGTTTAATCCATTGCAATGTAGCTTTACGCTCATACTTAAAATAAGACAATGCGTTTCCTTGTACAGTAACACGTGAGATGTTAGACTGATGGATAGAGTTGTGTTTGATCCATGGCCTTGTAGCTGTATTCTCATACTTACAATAAGACCATGTGTTCCGTGTTCAGTTACACATCTGCTCTAAGAATGTTGGATAGAATTGTGTTTGACCCATGGCCTTGTATCTTTATGCTCATAATTACAATAAGACCGTGTGTTCCGTGAACAGTAACACATCTGCTCTAAGAATGTTGGATATAATTGTGTTTGATCCATGGCCTTGTAGTTTTATGCTCATACTTACAATAAGACCGTGTGTTCCGTGAACAGTAACACATCTGCTGTTGGAATGATGGATAGAGTTGTGTTTTATCCATGGCCTTGTAGCTTCATCTTCATCAACATCCTCACACATATGGAAATGAATTGGGTATCTTCCTGTTTGTTTAAATACCAAATATGAAATTAATGATTTTAAAGATTATAATAAGTGGTATGATTGACAATAAAAAATAACATTAATGGAACCAATTCAACTGCGCCAGATACACATTTCGACATCTCATGTCTCTTTAGGGATGCCCGAGGTCAAAATATTTTAAAAAGCTGTTAAAACCAAAAAGGAACAAAACGTAGAATCAAAGAGGGTAACTATTACACAATGACCAGAAGACAGTTCTTTTAAATCCACCCAGTTCTAGTAAATAAAATGAAGACGTTCCAATGAGAACCAAATGTGCTCCCCTTCTTGCCGACTTTTTTCGGATATTTAAATGAAGCAGATTTCATACATGAGATTCTAAGAAAGGGTGAAAATAAGCTAGCAATATCCTATAACTACACTCCACTATGAAAGTGATGTCCTCTCAATGAACAATTTAAAGTTAGGTGATTTTGTTGAACGGAACTATCCAACCGAACATGAAATAAAGGATACAACAGATACAGTTAAGTTTGCCTCATATTTTGGCATCTAGAAATTGACAATGAGGTTCAGTTTAGAATAAAACTTTGCGGCAAAAGAGATGATGTCAGCTTGAAAATTGTGAACTTTCCATTTCTATGAAAAACTATTCAACAGCGCCTGCATATGGAATATTTAACTCCCAGTTGATACGATATTGCAGTCGTTGAATATTTTTCATGATTTCCTTGATAAATTGTCGCTGTTCACGAGGATGTTATAAACCCGAAGTTCAAAGTGACGAAGTTGAAGTCATTCTTTCGAACACGCTTTGGATGCCATCAATGCTCTAAAACTTCGTGCTTTATTTGGCATTTCAGCTTATTTTATTCAAAGGGTCACTATGCGACCTTTGGTTCCTCAATGCTCTTCACTTTAATACTTAATTGATCCTTTTCAATTTTTTTTCGAGTGTCACTGATGAGTCTTTTGTAGACAAAACGCGTATTTGACGTCCAAACTATTACCCAGGTAACTTTGAGGAGTTATATTGATGATCATGTAGTTCTCTCAGTTTTTGTTCAATACATTGATTTGTCTTTTCTCAATCGATTTGAGAGATTTGAGCATCAGTAAACTACCGTTGCCTTAATTTATCTAAAATTCGTTTTCAAGGCAATTTCCCGACACCATCTTGCAAAATGGAGGAAACTGATAGGTATCTGTATTGTGTCTTGTTAAACTACTATGAAACAATTAAAAACATTTAAAAAATCTATTCTTAGGTTATTTTTACGTACCTAACACTTCTTGCTGTCCTAGATCATTGAATTCTGCATTTTCAATATGAACGCTTTTGAATCCTTTCAGTGCCTGAATATAGAGATAAATGTAATGGTAGTTTCAATATGAACGCTTCCTAATCCTTTCAGTACCTGATTATTGATTTAAATGTGGTGTATTTTCAATATGAACGCTTCCTAATCCTTTCAGTGCCTGAAGAATATATAGGTAAATAAATGACGTTTTCACTGTGAACACTTTCAAATGCCTCAACACATGATTAAACGTATGGTAAATTTAGAACCTCTTTGTGAGTATAGATTACCAAGTATTACAATAGATGACTAAATGGACATAAACAAACTGAAATGAAGTGATTTTGAAATTTCTGTTAATACTTATTCTACTTTCAATTTAGAGGAACCAGACATGCAAAAAAGGCGAAGCATTTTTTAGTTTTAATAAATAAGTATCAAATGAAAGTATTGTGAACGATTTCATCGACTAATTCTGTTGTCAAATCAATATTTATCGTACAAAATGACAAGTTCCCTATGGAAAATACTGCTCTTTCTTTTTTTGGATATTTAAACTCGGGAAAGTACTACTGCTAGTATTTTTATACACGGCTTGATTGTATGTCTAAAATAGTTTGGTTTAATGATATGACTTGCTTAACCATTTTAAATGTCGGTCACAAGTGAACCAAATACACAAATTGCACTTGTTTTGCTACAAAAATGAACATCATTCTTATATTTTTTCTTAGAGAGAAAATAATTTATATTTTTTTATAATTTACCAATCTGCACGTCTTTCAACATGGCTACATATATAAAAATATGCAGAAAATGGTCACATTAACTGATGAGGTATCCCGAAAAAAAAGTAAAAGTTATAGAACGTCCCATATGCCTACCGCAAAAAGTAAAAGTTACAAAAAGTAATTATGACGTTAACGTCGCGTGTGACTACAACAAAAGGTTAACTTCTTTAAATTAGCAAATTAAATACACCGGAAACATCTTTTTCGTACAACATGAGTAGTAAGCATTAACTATGGTCAAATTGTTCTTGAAATGTGGAGAAATAAAACAAAACATCAGTTATTTGACTTTCAGTTAACGAATGTGAATTTGAGCATGGATGCAATTGAGGTATTCCTCATTACAGAATCTTGGATCGTTTTAGGATAAGTTCAAACCTATTATTCTATCATTCAGTATGGATTATCGGTGTGAAACTATATAACTATAAAGGCTATATCTACAAAACAATAACAGAATGGAAACATTTGTCTGGATCTGGAATAGCCGTATATGAAAAAATATCAAATAAGGAACTCTCGCGTTAAAGTATAGAAGGTTATGCGTAAATAAGCTACGCGATGGGTGCCACATGTGGAGTAGTATCTTTTTATTCTTCCAGAACAACTACGCTCCTGTCCAGTTTTTGGTTGGGTTTGTATTGATCGAACTATTATTTTGTGAAATTGTTTTGTAAACTGTTGGGTTTTTTTAACGTCGTGTTTTGTGTGTTTTGCAATCATGGTGTTCTCATACTGTCATCGACTTCTGACTCTCCCTTTTGTATCATTCGTTTCTTTTTATGAAAACAAAACAAGTGTCGTGTCCACAAACAGGTGCAGGTTTCCATTAGGAGATTACCCGGCGAAGAATTATTTTACAGTTTGTTTGATCACTGAACAGAGTTTGCACAAACATTTACCTTTTCCATAAGTTGATTCCCTGGTGATGAATAATTTCACAATGTGAATGACATTTGTTTACACAGTTATATACTTACCTTAAGATTTCCACCATACGTAGTTGATCCTTCAGCATCTTCACTGTCAAACAAAATGTTTCTGGTTAACAGTCCGACTTCGCCTCTCATATCAACATTTTTGTAGATTTCTCCATAGTGAGTGAACTTCAAGGGACCTGCCATAGATAAACAATACATGAGGCAACACTAAAAATAAGTTTGCTTTTCCTTTATGGACAATGTCTTCTATCATTTATATATGAATAAATTAAATCTAAATCTGCGTGAATTAATCAATGAAATACTAGTACACGCGATGCCAAATATATAACTGCACAACTATTGCAAAGATTTATACGTGTAAAAATAGTTCTAAAAATTACTTCATGTAATTTAAATTTATTTTCTAAGAGGCACAGAAGAATCTTATTTTTAAGACATATAAAATAAATTAATTCAAATAAATTTAAAAAAAATGCCGGTGCGTTTTATACGTCTTCAGCTGTTTTATCAACTCAGCCTTTGGTATATTTTTTAAGTCAGCATTAAAAACAAAAATGCAATCATTCCATCATTATGCAGTTAATCTATCATTTTATCCAATACATTTCATATCAAAATCAGAATGTATCTTTTGCAACAAAAAATATAATATTGCAAATTCACGTATTTTCGATACAAACAAAAAAACACTTTAGTTCCATATATTTACCTGGTGAAGTTGAAACCTATTTTTTTAATTGTATATTAATTTACCAACAGAGAATAATACAAAATATTATAAATGATTTATATAAGGTAGTGACGTACAAACAGGTAACTTTTCAAAAAAGGACTATGCAGAAACAAACAGATTTAGCAATCACGTCACTATAATCAGGATAATAACATAAACGATATCAGTTTTGATGCACCAGATGCGCATTTTGACAATCAATATTTCTTCAGTGATGTTCGAGGCTAAACTATTTGAAAATCCAAAGCTTATTAAAAGGATGAACAGTTATAAACCAAAAACGACAAAAAAAGTATAGACAAACGCCGGGAAAGGAGTCCGAGCTTCGCATATGAGAGATATATTTCTTAATTTAAATTGTTTCCAAAATTTTATAACAGCAAATTTTAATAACACAAATCCGTATTTGGGCCGTTTATACCCTCAGGGACTATCAGTTCACTAGCAGAGGATAAATTATGAATGTGTTTTCACGTGAGTTTAATTGGGTGTGATACAAACCTGTATTTGGTTATCACTAATGGACGGACATTCAATGAGAGAATTGTGGGTGTGTCTATGTGTGGTCACGTGAGTTTAATTAGTACAGATATTTACCCGATAATCGTATTTGGTTATCACTACAGGACGGACATTCAATGAGTGTTTTATCCTCAGACTGCTTCCAGTCATAGTCGGTAGATGCAATAACTACAGTATCTCCTATAAAGAAAATGGAAGATGCAAAACACTTATTCTTTGATTGTCGAAAAATAGAAATGTAAAGGGTATTTAATTCATATACTAGTATATCGACTGATTCATATTTGTATGATATTGGTAAAATTTATACTCAAACGGGCACTAGCTGTCACGATTTGACTCAAATTCTCATATTTGATTTATAACAATGTAAAAACATTTATCCAAATAATAAAAAGTCTAAAATAAACCATATACCGGGCATGGGCTCGATAATATGTAGCTTCGTTTAGTGTGTTTTTTAGTCTAGACGCCATCTAATTAACTGTCGAGTTGACCCCCGAAGACCTCCGATTGCCATATAAGCGATATAAACATAAATATAGATATAAATAGATATCAGACTCGTGCATTTTGTATTTTTCTATGTCAGTTTAATTTCATATTATAGATTAAAAATATATGTTAATCATCGTTTTTACCTTTATAAGAATAATTTGTTGTGGATCGAATCAGTCAATCAAATGATTTACCTTTTTTTCACTTTCAATGTTGACATGTTTTTCTTTTAAATAATTTAACACGCACAATGCATGCGGTATCCATCTCTAGCTAAGGGGTTAAATTAAAGTTCACATGAATACGGATTCAATGAGGTCGAATTATTCACTTGCAAGTGAATAATTCATCATCAATGTTTCTTAGCTTATTTTGACAAAATTGAACCATACTGGCTTCTAAAAGCGATATATTAATTTACTATTTCACTTTCATTAATGATTGAACAAAACAAGTCATATTTTATAATTTTTATGTATCTCGTAGCTAGTGCCCCTTTAATCGATATATACTTTATTCTTTAGAACTAATTACCAAAACAACAGAGAATGAAACATAAAAAGTTAACAAACAATGATTAAGGTGATACATAGAGTAAATGTTTACAAATACACAAAAAAAAATAACAAAAAAAGAAAATAATAACACGAAATCATACATCTTATAAGTCAAATAAAATCAACAGTTACTGGGACTAAGGTCTTAATACAAACATATTTGAAAAATCTTAACGTGAAATGATTTCGCTTTGTTTTTTTAATATTCCATTGAATCTTGCTTCCATGAAGGGAACTAAATAAGTAATTGCTAATGAGACGACTATTAAGGTCAGGATACGGTCCTCATTTTTGTTTCTTAGCAATAAATGCAATGTATCTCTATTTTTTATTTTATTTTGTCCATTTTTCTCTTATCTTTACGTTGTTGGCCTGGTTTTTCTCAATTCTTCGTTTATGATCCCTTTTTCTGAACGCATTATTTGTATTCTGTAAACCTCACCAAGACCCTCAGATATCCATCAAAGATCAAAGGGCAAGGATGTAAAAACTTACGACTACCGTGAGGATTTGACAATGAGAAAAATACGACAGTAAAGTAAGCTCTACAGTTTTACACGGGAAACTCCACACTAAAATTTACGACAAAAAGGGATGATTTTTCGTTACCTATTGTTAATTTTTAATTATACATGATCTATGTATTACTGGTAAGTTATTAAGTCAGGGATTTCGTTACCACCAATTGAAACCTTTACTGAATTCTTCCATAGATATAAAGATTTGGTTTTGAAGTTTGGATGTACCTTGTAGAAAACTTATTTCAAAAGGGAATGCACATCCTCATTTTTACGGAGATGTAGTTCACTGTGCCCGTAAATTTAGAAACGATCCTTGTAATCTTATCGATCCTTTGGATAAATTTATCCTTAAAGGTTACCAATTCAACACTGTAATTAGATCTTTGAATATTGTTTGTATTGGTATTAATATTGATTTTGTAATCAGTAAATTAAAAGCAAACATAATATTATTGTTATAAACTAGCAAATCTGCATTTTCATGGATCTACATTCTGTCGATAACTGTATTTTGGCATTGCACAAGGTCATGTTTTTTTTTTCTTTTACTGTTTATGACGTCTTAACACTAAATCCATTGAATGTTATATGTGTACTGAGTGATAATTTAGTCTTAGATGCATGATTTTTTATCAGTTGTTATTGGATTCGTACTAGCTGTCAGTAACTGCAAGTACCCTCAGATCTGCACTTAGCGTTTTTTTTATTTGGATGTACCAGTACCCGGCCACGTCCACGCTGTGTATTTGTTAGATGTATATCTATTTGTATCCATCTGGTGACTTAAGCCTTTATCAACTGATTTGTATAGTTCGCTCTTATGTTGTACTAAATTTTTGTGTCATTTTGGTCACTTGTGAAGAGTTGTCTCATTGCCAACCAAACCACATCTTCTTTTTTTTTTAACCTATGTATTAAACGCCTCGAGATTACAAAATGTGGAACAGAAACAAATGTTGTTTTCTACTCCATTGGTATATAATTATGACTTAACCTACCTGTTTCCCATGTGCTGACATCTTCTATAAAAGTCAAAACCGGTCTGTATTTCAAATCAACAGCTACCATGACTTCAGCTTTAGAATTTCCTTTCATTTTCATATTATATGTACTCGTCACTAGGATGATAAACTCTTCAACAAACATTGAGACTTCGGCAATTGTTTTGCCTTCTAACTTCAACGGCATGTACATCTCTTTGGTCATGCCAGTTGAGCCTGTAAATAGAATATGCCTCTTTTCATACATATTTTGTTTTATCAAAATGAACTTATTTAGAAAATCGATTTCAATCCTCGAGATCTGGGTTCGCAGTATCAGGCTCGTGTATTATTATTGACGTCTGACAAAGACAAATTGGTCGTAAGTAGTACTGTTAAACCTTGTGTTGTGAGAAAACCGTACAATCATCCTAGGTATCCCTACGTATATTAAGAGTTTTATCTGTTATAAGAAAGGCGTTATAGCATCCGGGGTTTCCCTGGGTTTTAAAAAGAGCGACCATACCATCGCGAGTATCTCTGAATGGCATCATTGTGTGTCATGTGTTGTCTTAACAGTGTACAATCATTTCTTAGCAGATTGATTGCTTGCCTTGTGTTTTAGAAATAACGTACACAACATTCTGAGCATCCCTATATGAATGCATTGTTTTACCTGTTGTTGTACGAAGAGCGTGCATAACATCATGAGCTTGCCTGGGCGGATTAACTTTTAACCTTTTGTTGTATGAAGAACTTACATATATTACTATATCTTTTTGATTATACCTGTTCAAATTTCTTGTTTGACCTTTTGTTTTAAGAAGAGCAAACATAGTGTATTGAGTATCCCTAAGCGGATTTATTGTTTTACTTTTTAATTTTGTTGTAAGAAGAACGTTAAATCATCCTTAGTATCCCAGAATGGATCAATTGTTTTACTTCTTGTTGTTAGTAGATCGTGCATAGTCAAATATCATTCTAAGAACCCCTGACCGTATTTATTGTTTTACCTTTTGTTGTAAGAAGAGCATACATTGCATCCCTAGTGTCCCTGAGTGGATTCGTTCCATCTGTTTGTCCAGCTAATATCTCGATCGCTTCAAGTGCTCCACTGATGTCGTCTCTTCGAGGTAATTCTTTGTGTATTGCAATACCAACTACGTTGCCATTGGGAATACCTGTATTATACATACATAATAAAGTTTACACAAGTAAAATATGAAATATGGCATTGGAAAAATCAGGTCACAATCACCCCATGGAATTCTTAAATAAAATAAGGTCCTAAAAATAATTCGCAAAGACTTTCGACTGACGGATTTTTCAATTTTGTTTGAGATGGGTGTCTTTCATTTCAAAGTGCAAAACACCTGACATTATAAGATCTTATTAGTATTGTATATGAGCAACAGCTATAACTGAAAGATATTATCGTGTATAAAATTCATTTTAGGTAAGGCCGTAGCTTCTATCTGATTGTGTCAATACAATTGTGTTTATTTCAAATATAAAATTCATTAGAAGTGATACTATAAAGAAGAGTTTTGATAGGGTTTACAGAATAAATAAATACAACGAAAAACTACAGAAAATTTGCCCAAGTAATAATACAGAAAATTGGAAAAAAAACTTATACAAAAAATGGGCCAGAAAAATAAGCAATTGAGAATAATGAGGTGCCCTAGTATAAAGAATTGAGATTAATGGTTACAAATGATAAGGAATAAAGAAAAATGTTCATATACGTTAAAGAATATAGAAATGAAGGACCCCGCATACAGCCCTGATAAAACAGCAGAAAAAAATCAATATTATTTCATGAAAGTATTGTCCTAAATTCTCGTGACATTTAATTTTATCAATCCCAGTGACATTGGATGAACAAAATGTAAAATTATCTGACTAATATGAATTTATTAAGCTCTTGCCCCATACGACTGTGCCATTATGCCATCATAAAGGTGCGTTCTAATGTTTAAAATCTTTATTTTTCAAGAAATAAATTTGGCTTAAGCATTAACCACCAGAATTTTTTGCTCTAATTTGTATATATCGTCATACAACAAATCTGTTTCAGTGGAAGGTAGTAGTCGATGATACATCTTAAAAATGCAGTTTAAACAGAAAGAAACAAACATTCAAATTTGGTAAAAATGTCTAACTTTTGAAGAAGTCAACACTGGAAAAAGCTGTAGACAGAAATAAACTACAAAAGTATTTATGTATATGTTGTGTACAAGATGCAAGTTTGTACAAATTATAATTTCTACAGAGATTTTGTAACAGTTAGGGAGCTACCATTTGATTTTTATGGGGGGGCTAGGATGAAATTTGAAAAAAAAATAGGCAGGTCAGGAGTTTTGAGTAAAAAAAAAGGCAGGATGAGCATCTTGGCAAAAAAAAAAAGGCAGGATGACAATTTGTGTAAAAAAAGTCAGGATAAACTAGTAAAAAAAAGGCAGGACCAAATAGAGTGAAAAATAAAAAGGCAGGACAGAGATTAGAACTAAAAAAAAAAGCAGGACAACATTTTTCATCCTAGCCCCCCATAAAAATCAAATGGTAGCTCCCTTATAAGTTTTTTGACACACACCTTCTTGCACCAGGTGATAAAAGTTAATCTTCTAAAATGTATCAGCTAAATGTCTTAAATTCAAATTTATATACTTCAACCTAACATTTAGTGCTATTCTCCTTGTCCTAAAACTCGAAATCAGGTCACCTGAATGGTATAAATTATATTTTAATTTTTCTCCTTATACCAAAACCATATCAATTAAAAAATCTTTTTGTGTTCTTATAATGTTTTTGTATCAGTGCTAAGTATTAGACTGTTTGATGTAGTCATGGAAATATGACAGAAATATGCGAAACAAAAGACGGTGTGCTTCTATCATACATATGTGTTAAGAGGTTCATAAAACACTGATTACTTGTACAAAAATTCTGTACAAATTATAATTTGTACAACATTACAATTTGAACACAACAGATGATATCATATGATGAATATGGATGTTTGGTTATGCTATTACAAACTCAGATGTTTATGTATGATATTACAAACTCAGATGTTTGGGTATGATATTACAAACTCAGATGTTTAGGTATGATATTACAAACTCAGATGTTTGGGTATGATATTACAAACTCAGATGTTTAGGTATGATATTACAAACTCAGATGTTTGGGTATGATATTACAAACTCAGATGTTTAGGTATGATACTACAAACTCAGATGTTTAGGTATGATATTATAAACTCAGATGTTTGGGTATGATATTACAAACTACTCCTCTTTACCTGGATTACATCTTCACTTTGAACATGTGACCTACATGTAACGTATTTTGTTGAAACATGACATATAGGTTTGTACAGTACTGTCAGAGATATATATGCGGATTTTGATGGAGTTTGATAGAGACATTTTTATAAGCAAACATTGTAAGATAAAGGGCAACAAAAAGATACAGAATAGAGAAAGATAAGCTTAAAAAAGATTAAGAATAGAGAATAATGGCGTGTTCAAATATAAAGAATAGAGAATAATGGAGTGTTAAAATATAAAGAGTAGAGAATGATAGACAAAATAGATAGAGAACAGATAAAAAACGCAAATAAGAATACTGAATTGAGGGACCCCCAACCAGACCCTCCGATATACATGATATATATATATATATATCTAATATCAGTCAGATTATACGTACAAAATAAAATATGTCTTACCTTCTAAGAAGTTTACAAATGAAAGGATAAGGGCTGGATATTTTCTACGATTGATCGCAAAGTTGAAAAAAGCTGAGTCAACCAGCTCTCCTGTAGTAGGGTTGATACTGTAAACAGCAAGTCCTTTGCTATTAGTATTTTCCTGTTAAATGATAAAACATATTCATGATCTTAAAATCAAATCCCAGAATTTTGTAACTGGTTCTAGGTTCAACCACTAGAATATCAATTTTGATTTGAACAGCTCTATTGGACAAAAAAAGAACACAAAATTATTTTATGAATGATTGAACCTCAGTGAATAATGTCTTTTTCAGACTTTTAATATGATGTTTTAAGTATAAAATGACCATTTATGGAACGACCATTTAACTTCAAAAGGTAGAGGCGGGATGGTTTTTTTCCTAAAAAAAAAATTCTGATTCCCAAACTGATTAAAAAAAATATTTTCGGTTCAAACAGAGGACAATAAAAAATATTCTGAATGCAGATATTCCCCATACCTTATACATTTTATAGTGTTAAATTTTGAACAAAATAATTTGATCGATAGCATTGAAAAACTAAATAAAATTGTTCGCTCAGACAAAAAACCATACCCCCCCCCCCCCCCCCCCCCCCCCTCTTGAAGTTGATACCTTAAGACTAAAATTCATTGCTAGTGCAATAACAATTGATATTTTCATCAAAATTGTAAACGTCAGAAGAAGACCATGTACATTAGATACTGGTACGAGCAGTGACTATCTACCCCAAGACAAAGATTGCCCAAACCGTAAAAATGGAACTTTTTTTTCAAAATATTTGGTTTTTAATGCTCCTAAACTTCATTTTGTCACTGGAAGATATTTGTCGTATTGACAATCAAATCACATCTTTTTCTGCTATAATATATTAGTGAATGGAAACGGGGAATGCGTCAAAAAGACAACAACACTACTAAAGAGCAGAAAACAGCCCAATGTAAACATGTTAAAAAGTACGTAAATGTCATGAACACTATTTCAATGAATGATCTCTGATCAGTGTACATGATTCAAATTATAAGAATTTCAATTACCTGTTGACTAGCAATAACGTCTGTTTCTGTGTTAAATTTTGGAGCAGTCTGTGCAAGCTTGGTCCAGGAAAGTTTTGGTTTTCCGTGAATTTCGAGTGATCCACCAGCTGTAACAAACAATGCTTTATCTCCACCAGCACCAAGATTGTTTTCTTCAACATTTCCTTAAGTAATCAATATACAAGTATGTAAAATAAGTAAACAATTAGTTTTCGAAACACTTATAGAAAGGAAACCGGATTTTATATGAGATGATGTTGTTCAATTTCGATCGTCGTCTTAGTGAAGCAATGTATTATCTTTCGTACACAGTTACACAGAATCAACAAGTTTTCTTCGGGGAAAAAACTAGGGTCTAGGGTACAGAAATAATGTCATTTTTCTGGACTTCTTCTGTTCCGGTAGTTAAACGTTTTCGAAAGTGCAAGAGGCGACGACCGTTTTGTTCCGCGAGGTGTAAATAATTATGATTAGGTTAGAAAGATTTTGGTCGTTCTCTTTAGAGTAAGAGGTCGTTAAGGCATCGTCCAAGTGGTTTCAAATGTTTTCCAAAAGAAGAATGGCAATACTAGCATCGTTCTATACTGTAAACTCAGAAATTATTGCGTGCATTTATTATTGCGATTTTGTCATTTCAGACTAAAATGCGATTTTAATTTTTGCGATATTGAGAAAAATCCTGTTTAATTCATATAAAAAATTTCAAAATACGAGTTTAAATTATTGCGATTATAACCCTGTCGCAGTTTTCGCAATAATAAAAACATCGCAATAATTTCTGAATTTTGTACAGTATCTTGAAATACACTGGTTCACCTGCCGTTGTCTGTTTTGCTCTAACAACAAGAGGGATTCAGATACCAGTATGTTGCAGGGAAGAAAACCTACGTGTTGGAAGTACGTCGACACGTGCAGTGACTAAAATATTCTTTTTTTCTATTGTAACATTTGCTTACAGGAAACCAGCTTTCATATTGATACTATTTAACGTGTACGTGTAGCGACTAAAATCATCCCCCCTATTTACTTACCTAGAAACGTGATGTGAGTGTTTGACAGAAATGGACAATCCTCTGATCCGATATGAAGCTCTCCGTCTACTTGGACCCAATGTACCTTTAGGTGGACCACAGTGTTTGGGTCCCAGACTAATTTACCAGTAGCTGTGATGACTATGGAGTATAACGTTGGTGGCTGTTCGTCTAGTAATATTGGTTGTGTGATTGTCAGGTTGTCATTTTCAGCTGGAGGCTACAGGAATAAATAGATATACCGTATAGCGGGTGTAAAATTTCGCGATTTTCATTGAATAAGGTATACAAAATATTTTGGCGGTTATTATTTTGGCGGATTCAAATCTTTTATCAATACCATTGCATGTGCACTTTTAAATTGGCGGAATTAATTTTGTCAATTTTGTTCTATCCGCGAAAATAAGCGAAAATTTACACCCCGCGAAAATAACCCGCTATAACATGATTGAGGGTCTGGATGGGGTAGTGGGTTTATAGAGATGAGAATAAGGGATGGATGGTTGGAGAGATATAGGCAAAAACAAAATTAGAAAAGAGAAGAAAAATGGACTAACAAAAGAATTGCGGAATAAAAAATAATGGGGTGCTAAAGTATTAAAGATAGAGATAAAGGGTAAACATATGAAAAATGGCGAAAATTACCCAATATTTTAAGAAACCAAAAACCCCCAACCAGGCCCTCGTTTATCTCAAACAGGAGTAAGATTATTAGAAATATGAAAAGTACCAAAATGTAAGTCAAACAATCAAAGATCTTAAAAACCTCAGCTGGCAAGCTATTTTTTTGGACTGGATGAGCGGCGAAAGAATAAAATTGCACGTGCTGAACTGTAATCGCAAATAAGCATTCAATGTCACTTTTATACGATTTGTACACATTTTAGAATTGACTGCATTTCCTGGATAGACAAATGAAAGAACGCTAAAACTAAATTTGGAAAAAATATATCTAAAGAAATATTAGCTAAATATGGCCTTTTAAATATACATGTATTTAACACTACTATTTGAATTACAAAACAAATTAAAAAAAATCATAAGCAGTTGTGTTATAGAATATGTGTCATTTCATTTGAGATAAAAAAAAAAAAAAAAAAAAGAAAAAAAAAAAGAAAAGAAAACATCAACAAAACAAAACAAAAAACAAAAAACAAAAAAACTAGCTTTAGCCATTTCTAAGAGCTATCGGTCAAAAGGATAACACACGATTTGAATCGTTTGACATTTTAATGTAGTTTTCGAATAATATCCCATTTATGTTTTATTAAACTACTTTAAAATGACAAGAATGAGATTTGATTCTATTATCATATATTTATCGAAAAGAAAACAAATGTTTAGATTTTCACTGTAAAAATGTTATCGTACTTTCAAATGTACCTATTTTTAATCAAATTATATGTAAACAATGTCTATAAAAATGTTCCTTTATATTCCATTTTATATTGTACTAAACCAACACGACGAGTCCGATTTTTCGAAATGGTAGTTCACAAGGTGAACAGTCCAATTGAACACTATTCTGACTAAGAGCCGACCAGTCTTAGCTTTTTACTCGTGAATGTCGCATGTGCTCATGAAAAGCAGCAAATACCAATTTCAAGTCTTCTTTACGACCAGGTCGATGTTTGAATCCAAGACATCCCGCAATAACGACGAACACGCTACCACGTGATCACCGAACTAGGCGTTTAAAAATCTTTTAAAGAAGACTTTAACTATACGTACAATTACGTTTTTTTTTTATTTTCAAAATTTCAATATAGTCGGGTAATCGAAATAAATAAATGTTTGTTTCTATATAATAAAAAAAAAACCACGAAAACTAGTAAATCGACAAAATTACTGTGTCTAATGATACACGCTTACTGACTCTATTTGTGTGCTCGATTAGATTAAATTGATAAGGAGCGTGATTTGAATTGTTGTTATCGCACCTCGGGTAAATTATGACGTTATGATTGGTTTAAAGCCGTCACCTGGTGACCCCCTATGGATCCGTAGGGGGTCAGTAGATTTCATATGGGGTTCATGACGTCATGTTTACTATTAATGGTGACGTCATCGATTAATGTTTTTGTATTTCATTGCTTATTTTTATACATAACTTAGCAGGAAAAGTCCCGTGTCCGATAAATTCGTTATACGGTTCACTACTGACCCCCTACGGGTCCATAGAGGGTTAATAAAATACATAGGAAATTCGGCCTTCGGCCTTACCCCTATGGATTTTATTAACCCTCTATGGATCCGTATGGAGTCAGTAGCAAACCATATAACTTATAATAGTGTCTGGATGGGAGGGTCTTCATTTCTTTATTCTATAATTTGTATGCACTTTTTTTGCTATAATTCCCTATTTTTTTGCCCCTGTCCTCCTTTATATTATAACACCCTATTGTTCTCCATTCTTTTCTTTTTTGGGGAGGGGGCTGGGGAGGGGCTATTTATCTCTTTTCTGTTTTACCGTCACGCTGTACCCAACGCAAATTATTCTCAATTCTGAAAACCCCATCAACATAACCAAGAAAATCCTCGTTACTGAAATCTGTCGCACTCGTTCTCACGACTGCATCAACTGCATGATTTCCACATTAAATTTCGGAACATAACGAACTTACTCCGCTAAGGTAGAGGACTTATTCTAGGGTGAACCTTTAAACGCAGATTTTAAAACAAAATGATAACAAAAAGTGACATAATAACTATATCATAGGCGGATCCAGGTGGACCCTGGGGATCCAGGGCCCCCCTTTTGTGGGAAAAGTTCGGTTGATTATATAGGGAATCACTGAAGCATGACTGGAGTGCCCCCCCCCCCCCCCCCCCCATTTAGGTCAGTCAGTGGGCCCCCCTTATGAAAAGTTCTGGATCCGCCACTGGATATATAAGGATTTGGCACGATACGGCGCAGAAAAAGCTCAACACAGTCTAGCATTTCCCCCGTGTCTAAGCCTTATACTTATAGAACCAATACACTATTATTGTGTATATATGTTTAAATATATACAGGTCTAAATTGAAAACAATGTTCAAACCTATGATTGCGTTGGATAAAAACTGCAATTTTTATACGTGTGCATGCAAAACAAATTTCTTGGTAGAAGGGTCTAAATACAGCACAAACAACATTTTCCAAAAGATCAAAAAAGTGAAAAAGTATATTTTAACAAAACGCATTTGACTAGCAGGTCGAACAACTGATGTTCTTAAACCTTGCCGACTGCAATTGGCGATGCCAAATAAACGGATAACCCGATGTAACAAAATGGATCTTATTATTAACTTATTAACAAACAGAAAACAATTAACTTGCGGAAAAGATGTTTAAATATATATACATGTTCCGGACCATATGAGTATTTGGACCGTACGCGTACGGATTTGGACCGTACGCGTACGGATTTGACCGTATGCGTACTTTTTCAAAATACGCATACGGTCGGACTGTACGCGTAAGGTCTGCCTAATATTAAGAAGTTGGTCAAGTTATTAAATACAAATGTATATTACAGATCAACATAACTTAAATCTCGAATTAATATAATTTAAAGTTCAATTGTAATTGAAACTTAATATTTTAACTATTTTAAAAAGTCACGCTAATTTAATCTGTTAATCTCCTGTATTTAGCATGTCAGTAATACATTATTTGAAATATGCTAACTGAAATTGAAGATATCGGAAGTAAACATAATATAAAGATTTGGTTTTGAAGTTTGGTTGTACCTGTAGAAAACTTATTTCAAACGGGATTGCACATCCTCATTTTTACGGCAATATTGTTTACCGTGCCCGGAAATTTAGAAACGATCCTGGTAAACTTATCGATCCTTTAAATAAACTTATTCTAAAAGGTTACCAATTCAACACTGTAATTAGATCATTAAATATTGTTTTTATTCGTACTAATATTGATTTTGTTATCAGTAAATTAAAAGCAAACTAAATATTATTGTTATATACATATACACATTCATGGATCTACAATCTGTCGATACCTGTATCTTCGCATTGCACAAGGTCATGTTTTTCTCTGACTGTTTATAACGTCTTTACACTAAATCCATTGGATGTTGGATGTGTACGGATTGATAATTTAGTCTTAGATGCATGATTTTTTTTATTAGTTGTTAGTGGCTTTGAACTAGCTGTCAGTAACTGCGAGTACTCTCAGATCTGTACTTAGTGTCTTTTTGTTGTTTGGATGTACAAGTACCCGGCCACGTCCACTTGTATTTGTAGTATTTGTATTTTTATCAATCTGATGAGTTAAGCCTCTTTCAACTGATTTTATAGTTCGTTCTTATGTTGTACTGTTACACCATTTCGGGGCCTTTTATAAATGTAGCTGACTATGCGGTATGAGCTTTGCTCATTGTTGAAGGCCGTACGGTGACCTATAGTTGTTAATTTCTGTGTCATTTGGTCTCTTGTGGTGAGTTGTCTCATTGGCAATCATACCACATCTTCTTTTTTATAATGTGGAAGGCAATTTTTTAGAATATTTAGGAACTTTACAAAAAAAATGCAAATACAAAGGAACATGCTTGAACAACACATGTAAATTGATGTAAAAAAAATATGACGTTCCTTGTGGTAGCAAGTGTCACCTTTGGAAAGAGTACCAAAATAGGATTCAGACATATAATTAAACAAATATTTAATTTCAATTGTTCGCCTATTCACTTTATTCATGTTATTTATCTAATTGTAATAATAACAATTTGTAAAACTAAAAAAAAAAAGATTTTGATAAATGTTTGTTTAGATTTAACCCATATGATCCCAAAACATGTATGGTTAGCTCGTACTGGACCGTACGAGTATACTCATACGGTCCGACCGTAAGCATATGGTCGGACCGTACGCGTACGGTCCAAATACTCATATGGTCTGGAACAAATATATTTCCAAATTTAGCGATTTTGTTCGATTTTATTTAGATGAATTGAATCAAAGGGGAAAATACTTTCAAAAATCTAAATAAAAAATAAAAATGATCATTACGTTCGTGTTATTGTAAAATGCAAACAAAAATGATTTTATTCTAATTTATAATAATATTTACCGAGCCGCTCCACGTTCCAGCATGATCGCTCCATTTAAGTAAATTTGCGTCAGATTCCGGACAGTGTGCTGCACAGACAGCAGTTAAAACAAAACAGAAAAGGAACTTTAATAGTTCCATTTTAAAGGTATTTTTCGTTATAATGAATTCGGAGTACTGGGTATCTTTTATATAATAGATGGTCCAGAGGGTCTTCACGGGTTAACTTAAACATTAGTCTTATTAAATGTGATAGATGAATAATACCACGTAAAAGTATAACTAAGCAGCTAAATGTATACAAGAGAATTGAATTAAATTAGGGTACAAAACGTATCGCAGTTTATATTCAAATGAAAATAAAATAAATAATAACTACGAAATCCTTATTACATGTAATACCTCAAGTTAATTATATATCACCGATGGCAGTCCATGTTATAATTAAATTAACCATGTACACATGTCTAACATTTTCTTTTCTAAAGATTCGTTATCGACGTAGATGTTTTGATAAATAAATGAGGCATACGAATAATTGTTTAGAAATCGTGATTTTGAAAACTGGTGATCCCTGTCAAGTGGTCAATCTGATAATAAGTGCTTAGTGGACGATTTAAAAAAATAAGAGTGTTAGTACAGTATAGTTTTATTCAGGCAAATTCAAGCACATATACAAAAATTCACAAGACAAGACAATAATATATCACAGGTTTGAACGTTGTTTTCAATTTAGACTTGTTTCTATATATATATATACTTTTAAAAAGGCATCTTATAATTTTTTTTTAAACTGTGCTTAGAAAAAAGCCTTGGATATCCAACAAAAGATTACATTGTATAGCTTATTTCCAATGGGTCCCTTGTTTTATTTTTTAAATTTGACCTTCACCAAAAAAAAAAAAAGAAAAACAAATTAGATGTTTCTTAAAAAAGAAATATAAAAGATCTCCCGTTTCTATATTTCTTGCTGTTATTTAATGCTGCGTTCAGACGTTATTCGAATTCGATTCGCATTAACTAATTCGAATTAGTTTAATTCGCATTCGAAACGTTTAACGTCCAAACGTAAATTCTAATTCGAATTGCAATGCGGGGCAAATTCGCTTTACTGTCCTAACGACGTTAACTTTTAATTCGTATTAACAAAAACGCATTTCTAATGCGAATTGGATAATGAGATTTAGCCAATTCGAATCAATTCGAATTAAAAAAGAAGAGTGTGTGAACGCGATTAGCGAATTCGACTCGCATTCGATTCGAATTCAATTCGAATTAAATGTACGTGTGAACGAGGCATAAACTTGTTCTTTAACTGCAAAAATCAGATTTATTTGGTATATCTTTTATGTTGGATTGTAGATTGTTCCAGTCTAGTATAGCATTAGAGACAAAACTGTTTTTATTAACGGTTTTAAATATTTGTTACGAAATAATTATTATGTGGAGCACTTCTGGTATTTTCATACTTTAAATCAAAATGTTCACACAAATACTCTAGCGTATGTCCATGATATACACATGATACATGTATATATAAAATGACTGAATAATAGCCAACGATAAATCTTACGGGGCGATGGATCATATAATTATGATACAGTACACTACAAAATATAATATATAACAAGCCTAAAAGGGTACAACATTACCCAAAATTAATAAAATCACGAACAAATGTTAAAATATTTCGGATAACAGATATCCTTCATCAGTATGATTATGATGTAAAATGAATCATATCTATCTATTTTGCTTATATCTTGAAATTTATACAATAAAACAGTTAAAACTTATTCATTTGGGAGGGATGTACAAGTACGCAGTCACGTTCAATTATTTAACCTAAGTCAGATCACCAGTGATGGTGCTACAAGGCTGAAAACACATTCTGTATATATAATTCGTCTAAATATCAGCCGAACAATGTTAGATTTGTAAATTTGCGGAAGCAAATTTTTTGTTCGTCACTGGCCGAGATTCGTACTGAGATATCGTGGCAACAAATCGCCTTGCACTATGCCCGACTCGCTTGACCACTCGACCACCTAGGCTCTACAATAATAAAGCTTTCGGTAGCCGGGTGTTACATTTCCTCGTCAGTTTTTATGAGGGGGCGGACAGGGTAAAGAGAGACAGGGAGAGAAGGGGTGAGAGAAAGAAGAGAGGGGCGGGAGAAAGGAGAGAGGGGGCGGGAGAAATGAGAGAGGGGCGGGATAAAGGAGAGAAGGGGCGAGAGAAAGGAGAAAAGGGGTAGATAAGGGAGACAAAAATGTTTATAAAAAAATAATAAAAGTGAGTCGGAAATTGATTTTTTTATTAAATTAGATAATACAAAGCTTGAAGAAAATGCTAATAAATGTCATAGTAGGCTTAATGAAAATGACCTCATAAATACGCCAAGCGTCGTCACTTATTCAATCATTACGATCTCTTATATACGGAGAAAGACTAAAAACTAACAGAATATCAATGATTGTATTCTGAATCCGTGCATTTTTAGAAACAAACATGTTACCATCCCTGTTTTTTAGATAAATTGTGTCAAAGTTGACCGATATGCAAAGAGTTTGACAGAAGAGGGTTGACGCTTCTGCATATCAAATAACGTTATTTTTACGGAGAGGTATGAAAATATGTAACGGGATCTGAATGGTGTTTGTTATTTTGTTTTCATTTCCCCTGTCCAGTTACTTACATTTCGTACTAACCGGGTGCATAATTAGCTTATAAAGAAATTCAAATCTTCAACTGAACCCTACTAGCCAAATTAGACAAGGGTGATGCCACCGCAACTTCCGTGTGTCAATTATTACATGCATGTTTAGGACGATTCAATACAATTAGAAATAGTTGTGTTTAAAAGACAAATTTAATGCAACCATCAAAATTAAAAGGTTAAACATTCTGTTAGTTGTAAAAATGATAGAAACAAACAATATCTTGATGAAATACATATTCTTAATCAAGTATACTGTATGGTGTAAACGTATGATTTTTATAATATATAAAGGCACTTTACAAATTGTATTCCAAATTTCACTTGAAAAGACAAAGTTCAACATTCTGTCATTCGTGAAAAATTATACAATATAAAATCCTGAGAATATATATGCACTCTCTATATAAGTAAAACACTCGGCGCAATATAAAAGTTCAAGCTTGAAATTGTAACATGTAGTCGTAGAAGGAGTAAGCAGGGCTATGTATTCTGCGTGCATTTATATATTATCTAAATGCCAAATTAAGCAACCTGCCATTTATAACAAAAAACAATCAAAAATCCTGACAATATGCGCACTTTTGGTATATATACTAACACCTGGTATACATAATTTAAAGTTAAATCTTAAAAACTTAGCAATAAGAAATAAACTGAATAAGCCCTCAGTTATATATACCAAGTCAGGGACGGGCGGTCATACGTACACGGGTAAAACAGTATGCTTCCGGGACCAAAATATATATTAAGCGTATCTGGTGATGGTCTATTTTATAAGGCATTTTGTGACAAAACATAATATTGTCTTTGATAGAAAGATGTCTCATGGGCACTACATCTCCTTATTTCATAATGGTTTGAGTTTTCTTCTGAAATACGAGTTGTTTAATTAAAGACTAACAAATTTGTACCTTACGAGATTGACATATGTTTGTATTATAATTAATATAACTAATGTTGTGAACGTGTTATTTTATCATTTGATAGATTTTATACTTGCTATAGTAAATATACTTATTAACTTTCAAATTCAAGGGACCAAATTATCTTTTCTAAATCTACAAATTAGCAGTATAAAAATTCTCGCCCATCCTGCATTTGTCCTGTGTTATCTAGATGTCTTTGGTTTTTGTGTGTCGTTAATTGGCCAGTTGCAGTCTTATTGAATCTCCCATATCTCCATTTACAACACTTTTATTTAACATACATACTTGTATATGTACTTCTTATAAAATCTCTTTTAAAGATCGTAAATACCCTCTGACTTGTGTCCCTCCCCAAAAAGACACCTTTGTTAATCATTTATGAATCGTTTTGACTCACCGTTTTATGAAATGGTGCATGTTTCATCTTCTGTACCTGTACAGCATGTCCAGCTCAAACAAACAAAAATACAACCATTCCTGTACACCGAAGCGTAAATTAACTTGAACCTATATTAAAATCAATCAGGTCCAGGACCAATCCAGTATATGTTATTATAATCCTTCGTAATTAATTCCATTTTCTATGTTCACATATTTAGAGTAATTTGGAGCTGGTATACTCAGCATATGATACATATTTCTTGTTGTGGAATACATTTTTCAGAATTTATTTTCATGCTTGTAGTATAATTATTGTGTGTGTGTATTTTTAGAATAGAAATCCAGATCTGGTCTGTGTTTCTTATACTAAACAAGGTGTTTCGGTTAAGGTCATGTATATATAGGCCTCTCCTCATGAGGTATACTTCCGAAATTATATCGAATCTAAACAGTCCAAAATCAGATATTTTTTTCTTCTTATTTAGCAGCATTTGGATTTCTACTTTAAAAAAAATTATTGGGAAACGGCGTGCATCAAACTCAGTTGCAAATTCAATGCAAACAGGCAGCTTAACAGTCAGTGAAAATAATATTGAGGTTCTTGAAGCAGAAGAAACAACACTTCTATCTTGTGAAAGGACAAGACAGGGACTAGCTATAAAAAAAGCAACAAATTTGATCGATTTTTATTAAAACGAGATTTCTGTACATTAGTTTTTCATGTTTGAGGTCGGAAGACAAGAGAAAGTGGTGGGAGAAAGGAGAAAAGGGGCGGGAGAAAGGAGAGAAGGGACGGGAGAAAGGAGAAAGGTACCCCCCTGTCCGCCCCCTCATTTATCTAGCGTCGTAACACAGTACATGATATTGATATATATTGAACACATGGGTTAACGTAGTAGACTAAATATACCTTTCACACATAGCATGTTGAATTTGTATTAGATATCACATCTAAATCTACACCTTGGACCCAGACCAAGGATAAATTTAACCACCTAATTCTGTACAACTTGCAATTGTGTTGTCATCCCTTTGCCCAGACAACTATACAAAGAAGAGAAATATAGATTCCACCATTGCAACAAGTGTGTTACGATATTTCTCCACTCGAG